AACTTATTAAATTAGTGTAACATTAATGTTTGTAATGTCCGGGTAGGCTGACATCATCTGGGCCCATGAGAAAGGGGAGTACATCCCTGGAATTGTGGTGTCCTGCTCTAAGGAGCTGATGAGGGTGCGTTCCATGACTCCCCGGGCATTGCCCAACTGGCACAGCATTGGCCATGATGACCCCCGGGTGGCCAGACACGCCTGGCGCAAGCAAGTCCGTGCCTGGGAGGCGTTGGGTGACAATTCCTGTGATCTCCCTGTTGTCCCTAACGTTTCCACTGGCCCACTCACTCTCAACCTTCCGTCTCCACCTGTCCCTTCACCTGCACCTGTCCCTTCCCCCACCCCCGTCATTCCCTCACCTCCGGTCGTCGCCGGACCTTCCGGCAAGATGACCCCTGAGGTCCGGGACAAAGGAAAAGGTAAGGCCACCTCTGTCGACCTGTCGCCGGAAGTTGGGGGGAGCAACAAGAGGAAGTCTCCAATAATTTCTGGACACTCCTCCCAACCTCCAAAGTCGGCGCTGAAGGCTCGCAAGCGTGTCAAACCAACTCAACTCCCCAAGTCGAAGCCGTTTGTGGAGTCGGAAGATGATGAAGACCCAATTGTTCAGGTATGTGTTCTGGCTGATTTCTGACATGCTCTCAATTTGTTGCAGCCAATTTCGCGTGGAGTGCCGGAGGTCATCCTTCCCCAGCGCACCATTGTGGTAAGGAAGCCCCAGTCGCCTTGGTCACCTGGTTCCCCCAAGAAGCAATCATTTGGGCCTACTTCGGTAAGTTTGCATTTTTCGTTTGGAGTTTAAATATATGCTCATGTGTCCACAGCTGACTGCCGGCAGTCGTCCGGAGGTTACGGTGAGTCGTTTGGACATATCCAGACCTCCCATGTATAATTCCCACTCATTCCCATTACATTAGAAATCTCCCATCAGTCGTCTGGAGGTTCCGGTCAGTCGTCCGGAGGCTCAGGTAAGTCTTAGAAGTTTTCCAGAAACTCATATGTGTATTAACAATCTGTCAGGCAACCTCCGGCAGTCGTCTGGAAGTTGAGGAGGAGTCCTCCGATGATACTTCCAGTGCTTCAGATGGTGACCCGCCGGCCACTACCACATTTGATATCACCATTCTCGGCCCAGTGAGTACTCAAATAAATTCCCCTTAGTCCATCTACTAACAGATACTACAGAACAACCCCTGCCATTATTGTGTCAAGGAAAATTGGCCCTGTGCGACTCGATTGGACAAGAGGTCCAGCCTCCCCTGCTTGTCTTGCATCCGCTGCTCCACCAAGAAGATCAAATGCAACCCTGCATCTCTGGGATCCCCGCCCAAACGGACCCGAGGGAAGTCTACCACCGGCCGGACGCGTTCCAAGACACCCGCCCCTGCTCCATCCAATGCTCCATCTCCCTCCTGGTCAAGGGCCCGAACTCATAGTCAATCTTGTGGCCCTTCCCGAACTCTGGCAATCCCTGCTGCAACCACACCCCAGGTGCAGTCACGTGGTCGCAGCAAGACCATCACTACCAAGAAGACACCTGCACCTGCACCTGCACCTGCACCTGCACCTGCACCTGTCCCTGCACCTGTCCCTGCACCTGCGCCAGCTGGTAAGTCACCCATACTTTTGATGACCGGCTGACCTAATTTTTTACTTAGCAGTCAGGTCTTCCAGCGTCGCAGTGCCTCGTGCAGCACTCAATGTTCCCATGCCAGATCTCCATTCCATGGCAATCGCGATTCGGGATGGTGCAGCTCGCATTGCTATTCTTGAGGCTTGGGTGCAGGAGCAGGACGCTAAGATTGATACCCTGCAATGCCTCCATGAGAGCCTCCGGCGCACAGTGGTCGACTGGCACCCTTCATTTTCACTTCCAGACACACCGGCCGATGGATTAATGTTGCTTGATCAAGGAGGTCCCCCCCGTCCATGTCACCCCTCCCCTCCGCACTTTCCAACCTCATTGATTTGGACTTTTCAGTCATGCAACCTACACCCTTGACGCCTGAGCATGGATCTGCTGTGGTAGGTCCCATGGTTGAGCCCACCCAAGTTCAGCCTGAGGGTCCACAATCCTCTGGCGAAATTGTTCTCCCTGATGAACCAGGCAACCTCCTGCCAGAATTCCCCGGCAATATTGTGGTCCCTAATAAACCAGGTAACCTCCTGCCAGAATATGATTCTTCTGATGAGGAGATGGATGTTGAGGGAAAGGTTGATCTTCCTGGTGAGGAGGTTGACATGGCTACATAATTGCTCAGTGATAGATGTACATAAATGTTTTTCCATGCATGTTACCTATGCCACAATTGAATAATTCAATGATGACTCCCGATATCCAGAACTTGAAACTGCAGATTGAGGTAGATATCACCCGAAACCCGAACACCTGAATGTCAAATTATCAGTGCCGAACCCCGAGTCCCGGGTGCCGGGTACCGAGTCCCGACACCCGGAACTCAGGATTTGACATTTTAGACGAACGACATCTTCCAGACATGTTTAAATCAACCTATGTATATCTGTAAACATTTTACTAACCCCCACACCCCAAACTGAGATGTACCAACCCCTGAACCCCGAACCCCGAAACCCGAGACTGCCGGGTCTCGGGTATTGGGTGTCTGGAACTTGGAACTTGGGACAATTTGGGGAGATCAATTCAATTTGATTCACAATCGAGTTGATTGACAACACATTGACTTACCCATGTTTGCAATATATTTTTGTTTAGACATACCAAGTTCCGAGTTCTGGACACCCGAAACCCGAGACTGCCGGGTTTCGGGTGTCCGGAACTTGGAACTCGGTATGTCTAAACAAAAATATATTGCAAACATGGGTAAGTCAATGTGTTGTCAATCAACTCGATTGTAAATTAAATTGTATTGATCTCCCCAAATTGTCCCAAGTTCCGAGTTCCGGACACCCAATACCCGAGACCCGGCAGTCTCGGGTTTCGGGGTTCGGGGTTCAGGGGTTGGTACATCTCGGTTTGGGGTTTGGCACTGAAAATTTGACATATATATTTTTGTGAGTGTTGTGCTTCTGGTGTCCATGCTTAGAAATAGGATTTGTTGCACACCAGGGTTCAGGTGTGGGGTTTTTCCACTTCAGTCCTGGATTATTGGTCAATGCCACACATGGTCGATTCATGTTTTTGTGCTTAGGGGTTTAGATTTGGTGGTCGATGGTAGGTATATGCACTCATAGTGTACATGTATCCTATGTGTTTGATTCGCTGGTGGCTACATTAGCTGTATGTCTTGATGGAACATATCTAGGCTCACCCATATATGTAATACACCCCCGTCTATGTATTATCCCCCATGTCGGCCCACCCGTCTATGTAATACATCCTATGTTGGCCCACCCGTCTATATAATACATCCTGCATCAGCCCACCCGTCTATATAATTATACCCCACCTTGGCCCACCTGTCTATGTAATAAATATTTTATCGCACCCTCAGCCCACCGGTCTATTTGATATCCCTTTCGTCGGCCCACCCATATATGTAATACATTCCACGTCAGCCCACCTGTATATGGAATACACCCTACGTCAGCCCACCCGTCTATGTAATATTCCCCTACCTCGGCCCACCCATATATGTAATACACCCATGTCGGCCCGCCCGTCTATATAACAATATTTGGCTTACATCTCTCTTCAGCCCAGCTGTCTATAATATCCTATTCTACATATTACCCAGATGGGCCCACCCATCTCCATGAATGATCATATTCCCCCGGCCCATCTGTCAACATTAAGGATATATATATCATTGGCATACATGGGCCCACCCGTCTCCATCGGAAATAATATGTGTCCCGGCCCATCCGTCATCATCGAGAATATACACAACATGGGCCCATGATCGGCTGGCCCGTCTCATACGGGATATTATGGAGGTCGGGTGGCCCGTATAATACGGAATTTGTCACTGAAGGGGCTCATGCATACGGATTGGAAATGACAGGGGAGGCAAAATTGAACTCATGGTTATCGTCGTCGTTTGGGGGTAGCTGTGCCCCAAACTCGAAGGGGCGCATTGCCACGACAAGAAATCGTCCCCAACTGTTAGTAGATTGAAACTGAAAATCTGTACATTACCTTGAATCCGACTCCGACCAAGTCAGACCAATTCACAGATTTCCACGATAGGAAACATTCATTTGACGGCACAAGGGGACTGAATAGCATCTGCAATGAGGAGTATGTAGTCATGAGGCATAACCGATGTGCAATACATCAATACCAAAATAGGCCAAAGAGCAAACCACGTGCATTCATACTTAGCCACATTGACATAATATTTTGCACATTCAATCCACGTCTGCAAAAATTCTCAGGCCCTTGCCAAATATGGGTAACGACTTTTAGCAGGCGTCTAATAAGGTGGGCCTCATGGTTCATTTGACCGCCACATGTTTGGTTTTGTATATCGACGACTTAGAACCAAATTGCTCGTGGCTTTCTCAAACAGTTTCTGGGGTACATCGGCCTCAGTGGATGGGAGCTGGTTGGTACCTGAGCCAAACAATTTTGGAGTAGTAACAGGTCAGACATCACCGCTGCAAGTACCTCTGACCCGTACAGTGTCACATGACCAAGCGGTCATCTTTGCTTATGTGAGCGTAGATGGAATATAAAAATTCAAAATTCAAAATGTGTGTCACACTAAGTTACACACATGTGACATCGCACCTGAGCTGATAAAGAAATTAATTGTATTCATGTGGCGCCTACCCAATCATGAGGCGCGAAAATCTGACAACAATCCTCCACTTGTGTCCCTGTTTAGCTGTTACAATGTGTTTCTCTTATTACAATAGACAACAAGCGGTGACGCTGTAAAGTAGTAGGAACCAACCAACTGATATGGGTGTTGAACATGTTGAGTATAATGCAGGTAGTTGTGCACGTCTGGAAAGGTGTTAATGAAATGCTTTTTATTTATAGAAGCGAACACCGACTTGTCATCAAGGCAGTCTCAGGCGGCAGCGTCCAAATTGTTGTTTGAATCATCATCACGTGAACTTGCCATCTGCCTCTGCACGATACAATCTTTCAAAAGGTCAAGCTGAGTGTCAGTCCTGCAGAGATATTTCTTGTTGTGCTCGCTGAGCATAGCGAGAGATTGGGCATCTATGTCAGTAGACGGAGGATGCTTCTCAAGAAGTCTTTTCATCAACACTGAGGCTTCTCGCTCTGCTCTGACAAAGTCTCCCTGGGCTGCCTGGAGCATGAACTGGTGGAGATTATCGAGCCTTTTGCTCTCCTCTCGTGCCCAGTATGCCACAAAGAGGTCCAGGCGTTGGTGCTCACGGACGGCCTCCTTGTAGTGAACAACAAGGCGGAAAGATTGGGGTCCAAGCGCATCCATATGCCTCAAAAACCAATCATCAGTCTGGCAGTGTGATGCATATAATGAGTTATGTATGTTTTCCAAAAAAAAAGGGGGGACCCACCTTGCCCTTCATATCTTCCAATGAATTGTCACAGTCAGAGCTGCCCAACATACATTCAAAGGCACACCGATCTTGAAAAGATGGTGCCCGGCGATACGGATGGAAGGAATAATTGTAACTGTCAATGTGATGCTGTTTATGGTACCGACTTATACTAGTTGATGGTCCAGCTCTGCATGAGATATCGGCGACATGGTGTGTGTCACCTGAGTGCTTAGAATCAGGTGTCAAAGGGAAGGAATCGTCGTCCGATTCCAAGACTGTGCTCGCCACTGTGATTGGTTCATGAGTCAATCTGTATCATAATATTACCAAGTTATCCATACCTGATCCTCTAGGAGAGACAGAAGGAGTGCTTGGAGGAGAACCTACGTGGCTAGAAGTATAACTGGGGGTAAAAGGGTGTTGGAGAGGTGTAGACAGTTTGAAACAAGGAACTTTAACGCATGTAGTGGCACATAAGCTCATTTTCAGTATGTGGGGTGCTAGGAGTGGGGCACGACAAGTGAGTGCATAAGTGGTAAATACCCATCGGACTTTCAAAAACACTTCGCTGGAGAATTTTATTGACTCAGATTTTCTGTGCATGAGAGTACTTACTTAGGGTAGTAGTTACCAGGATCCCAGGAATTAGTATTGAATATTGAGGGCTAGCTATAACCAATTTTGGTATTGCGGACATTCAAAGGGGTGTCTGATTGAATTGCATAATGTTGTTGTCCAATGGCGAGGTTGGTGTTCCTGATTCTGAATACCGTAGGGCCAGGCTGGCAGACTGCAGTTGGTAACGAGACCTCCGAACACCCCAGATTCAAGGTGGTTTTGAACATTGCTGATAGATCATGATTTCATGCCTGGCTTAGTAGGCTAGGTAACCAATTCGATGGGTCGTATGATAATCTTCGAGGGAAGTCACGAGAACCGCATGCAGCCTTCCGTGAATCATGTTGATGGTATTCTGCACAGCTCAGCCCTGCGAAGGTGCTTCGAGTTAGTCGCATTGAACACGTATTGAGAGAAACAGCCAATGAAAAAATCCTTTAAGATGAACTTTGCGTCCGAGTCGTTGGGAACTCTCAGGCTCATCCATCAAGCTGGGCTTGCCACTTGTACCATGATTGTCACAGTTTAGCCTAGTCACCTAACTCAGCGAGCCGCTGCCGTCTGAGTCTGCGCGATGCCGCAATCATACTAGTAGTGCTGAGGGACGCGATCATAACCAGTGACTCAGACATTATTTGTGTATATGATCGCACAAGTGTGGCGCGTGTTCTATCAACAAGAGCAAGAAGTTAGTCTCAACTCGGACTTGAACACTGTGTCAATCATTGTGACACCCGAGCGCCCTTTAGAATCACCCAGGTTCCGATCTGAGAAGGATGATCGTCATGTGATGGCACGGATTGTCTGCTGTAGTAGTACTGCCAGTGATTCATGACACTCCGTAAGCAAGTTGGTGTACTGGTAACTATGTAGCAGTATGTGACTTGATTGAATGCTAGAACGCAAGGTAATAACGGCGGTGGCTTGCACATTTTGCAACCAGCTAGAACTCTGATTGCCAAAAATGGTCCAGCATATCTCAGGCCGCAGGGTGACTTCATACAATATCCAAATACCAAAAATGGTAACTAGTAACCGCTCACTCATTACGTGTGGTACACGTGGCCTACAAGTAGTACTAGACGCTTTGCATACCAAGTAGTATCTCTTTTTAGCTGTCTGAATCCTACTTGACTCAGTGTGGCATGACTATGGTGTTATGTCTCACTCAGTGCTACAAATCATTAGATTTTTTCAACAGAGGTAGTGACAATTTGGCATACAGTGATAATCGTGTCGGTTATGTACTTCTCCTCGCCAATTAGACCCCGATCACAGGCTCTGCTGCACATGTGTGTCTCACTTGATGTAGTATCAGACTTGCACACTCTAATCTACCCAAAAATAGTGCATCACAGAATAAAAAAAGTTGGTATAAGAACTCACCGGGGCCAGCTTTGAGTTTTCGGATCAACAACTGAAACCCACTGAACACAGGCCTGACTCACTTCAAGATGGAAAACTCAGATATAGCTTTCAGTCATTATTCCAATCCTACTACTCACATCGCCATGCAGGTGTTAAGACCATGCACAAAGGGTAGGACTGATTCTGAGGGGCTTGGCTTCAGCTCGTGCACTGCGCCCCTTACCCGAGTATGTGCCCTTAATTTCAGATTGATGTCCGGAGAAGATCCGAAGACGTCCGAAGGACGTCCGAAGGCGCGGGAAACTTCGGAAGGACTTTCCGGACGAGTGCAAGTAACTTCCGGATGAGTGCGGGAAAGTTCCGGAGGAACTTCCGGAAATTACAATGAGGTTGCGTCCTGATACGGATATGTGTAATGGCTACTCAGGACTTGTCCTGAGTAGAAGCAAACAGAGGTATGGCTGCAAGGACAATGTCCAAGGCAGAATAGGTCCGGAGGACCGCGGGAAAGATCCGGACGAACTTCCGGAAACTTGGAGGAAGGTAGGATCGTAGGATCGGATGAGTTTCGGATCAGATGAATAGAGGATCGGAGGAGCGGAGGAGCGGAGCTCCGGCCTAGGGAATTCCTCCCTAGGCCTAAGTGGATATTCACAAGGAAGTAACTAGTATGAGGACTTAGTGTGAAGACTAGTGCGAGGACTAATATGATATTCAGACTGAGGAACTACAGGACATATACAAGAGTTTATATACTAAGTGACTATCGGAAAGATCAATAAGCAAAGGTCCGAGGCTATGTATGAAGCATAAGCAAAGTTATCAAATGCGAGTCGGAAATGAAGCATAGGTTAACGGATCAGTAAGCATACCGGTAGTAAGTATAACCGAGGTACCGGGAACAAGGAATACCGGATAGGCTGTGTTAACGTTATGCACAGGAAATGAATTAAGAAGCTTATCGTATATCGGATAGTAAACGGATCTATACATCGGATCGGACCGGATCGGATATGGTCCGGACGAGATGCGTGGATATATAGGATGTGGCAATAGGGCGATGGGACAAGGATGAATGATGCAGGCTAGCTGCGAAGGATAAGGGATCTGGACGTGGGCATGCGGATGTGGATGTGCAGAGGTGCAGGGATCCGGATGGGTACTGGAGACATGGATAGGGCATCCGAAGGTCCGGATGAGGCGTGGGAATATTGTCGGATGTAGGTCCGGAATACGGGATATGACAGTGGGGCGCTACTGACCCGGACATGTCGCATAAATTTAAGTCACCTGTGTTGACTGCTCTTCAACATGCCAATCAGGAGAAGAAGACTTACCGTGACACATCTTGCATCTGCAATGGCGTCGGGGGTGTTGCACAGACTCAGGGTGGCTCGCAGTTGGCGAGAGTCGTCGGTGAGCGTGGCAAACCATATACCGCAGAACAGAATTACAAGATTGAAGTCTGGAAAGATGTTGACAGAGCCACAATGAAGAACTTGAAGTTGGAACACTCATCGAATATATTACATGCCACTGAGACTGCTATCGTGGAGCCCACTATGGCTCGCCAGAATTACAAAAGGAAGATCGACGATGTTCAAGAACACGACACCGTCAAGGACTCGGACGTATATCAGAATTTTGCTCCAGTTGTGAAGCGCATCTGCCGGGAGAAAACAGGCACTGACTGGCAGACAGTTCTCGATATAATCAAATATGGTGAAGAACGAGAAAAGTTGGCTGAAGAATGGATGACGAAGAGTTGAACAGTGGTATTGGGCCAACATTGGACACTGCACATTTTCATAGTACATGACTCAGAGCTTTCGCTATTTGAAAAGAGAAACATACCTTTTAGCTTCGAGTCTTCCATGCCGCCAGCTTCTGTCAAGTTCTTCTCGTCAATGTGATGCCCACGTTCAGTGCCTTTCCGAACCGAATGTGTTAGCGTTGGTAGTAGGCCTTGCATTTCGGATTAGGCCTGTGCACAGCCCGCTCATAAATTTAGCACGTCGTTGGTCAATGTGTCCGCTGGGAATTGCTGCGAGTCGGGCGCGGTGGGCTCAAATCACACAAATTCACAAGGTGCGGGTGATTAAGATACACTATGAGTGATTTATTTAAAAGATTAGTATACAATCAGAGTAGACTGCAGGCAACTTGGATGAACACTGGATCTGTTGAATTATTGGATGAAAGATTGTCAGACACGGTCATAGCACCATAAATGTAGTAAACTCACAAAGTCTTACTTGCCACCTGATCGGTCTTAGTGTTCGTGTGGTCGACATTGAGTAATCCGACAAGCTGTTCGAGGAAGTTAGCAATTAGGATGGTTGGTCCAGCTGGTGAATTGTTAAGATGAAGTTAAGTCGAAGATGAATTCACAAATGAAGTTAAGCCACTGACTTTCAGGTGCGTCAATTTCACCGACAAATCTCTTGCAAAGGCTCTTCAAGCTCATCTTCAGCATCCTCAGAGTCGGCGAGACTGAACACTTGCGATCATCGAGCAAAACAGGATCAAGATAAGACCGCAACCAAGTTGTATAAACAGACTAACTAAGATTTACTCGGCTTAGGAATACTTTGGGAGGAGTTGCTGGGGTCAATTGATGACTAAGTAATGTCACCTCTTGTTTTCGGAAGCTTTTTGGAGCCGGAACAGCTATCATCGACTCGTCGTTGGTAGGTCGGGCACGTGCTAGTATGCTACCGTTACTAGTGACAGTGTTGCGTGTGCCATCAAGGAAAATGAAGACAAGTTAAATCTTGGGGGACAATATCAATGGTCTGTCGTGTTCTCCTGTTGATGATACTTGCCCTCGGTCACCGGTAACTTCACCTGCAGCTCAGGTTCTATGACTGTGACATGGCCGCATTGTTTTATCCGCCCTCTTCACACAAATGACTGGCAAACGAGATTGGATCATGTTCGTAAGCTTGTTGTAATACATATTTCACAGATCACCTATTACATTCGCAGTTTCACAAAGGCCAGGCGGATGTAATCCAATTCACAAATATGGGTTGGCAAGTGCGCGAAGCGTGTGTCAATATTCGAGCGAGTGTTGCACCCTGGATCGTGCTTGTTCCCCACTGCTGACGTTTTTTCCAACTGAATTGAAGCGATGCTAACAAGCGTGCTGTACCAGGCGTCGAGAACGAAGTGGTCTGGTCTCTGCTGGGGTGTTCGATTTGCCAGCCATCCTCGAGAGTCTGGGATTCAAGTTGGTGCTGAGGTGGTCCTCAAGCAGTGCGGTATCGAGCAACGTCACGGTGTACATTCAAGTTTACCGGGCATTGGAGACTAAGTCCTTGTGTTACCGCCAAGGTTTTCTGTGGTATCCTATTTAGGTGAGGAGGTGACCCTGATCTTCAATGAGCCGTTTATTTTGCAATGCTAATGATCTCCCTAAATAGGTATGTGTTCAAGCGACTTAATCGCTTGTGCTAGCGTGATTTACTGATATTCTTTTTAGGTAACTAGCACTGGTCTTGACCAACATATAAAATGCAAGCTGGCCCAGGTTAGCTTCATTCCTCACTCCCACTTTATCTTATCCCTCAGGTTTGACTGTTTTATTCTTTCTCTAGCCAATTTGAGCTCCTGCCGCTATGTCGCATGTCGAGGACCAGCAAAACGAGGGCAACACCTCCGAGATGCATGCCGATGGCGATAGCGAAGGCAGCACCTCCCACATCAAGAACCGGCTGGACGGAGGTAATGTTCAGCCGCAACAATCTCAAGCAGTAGCAGCACACGTGCAAGCTCTGCAGCGACGGAAAATTGCTCAACTGGAGGAGAAGCTGGAGGCCCTACAGTCGGGGCGCGCAGTCAAGGAAAGGTGCGGGCGCTATCGTATGTATTGGGTTGCATTGCTTACTATATCTGTTAGGCAAACAGTCTGGTATGTCGCTAAAGAAAGAGCGATCAGGCGTGTTATCACCCTGTTCGACAGTATCGAGGACCTCGTCGCTAAAAATGACAGAAGATACGAGAGCGAGGACCCAGATAATACCATCGAGTAAGTGTTTTGCTCTTTGTTCGTGCACACTACTCATCAGCGCGGTTACATAGACAGGATCGACTACAAATAGGTTACGCCACACTAGCCAGAACCTTGCCGTGGTTTTTCAAGAAGGGTTCAGAGATGGAGTACGAGGAGTACATGCACATGTTGAAGATGGTTTGTTTAATGCAATCGACTGTTTGTATCATAGCTGAGTCTTTGTCTAGCTTCGACAGGGGGCTGATGGCACTCGAGCAGATGACACCTCGAAACTGAAGACTCTCATTTCGGAATGGGTCAATCGTGAATTCAAGCTGGTTTCCCTCGTTGACCCCGACGATAAACATTCCCGTGGATTCACTCATGATGTGTGTGGCAAGTTACTCTGTCCGGCCGAGCTTGATTGGAATAGCCCAGAGTAAGTTGATGTGCCCTTGGTATCCCGAGAGACAACGCTCACCATTCACCAGAGTGAAGGCAGGAATCAGAAATCACTCAGATGGGTATATCGTTACAGATCTATCCTTTCCCACTTACTTGTATGACAAGTACACTACCAATCCGGACGACCTTGAGGAAGGTCTTTTCAAAGGCAAGATTCTCATTCAGGTTTGTTGCACCGAGGCAACTTGACAGTAAACTAATTTATATTTCAGGGCTACAAGGCTGTGTTTACATCTCCTTCCTTGGCAAAAGATGTTGACGGTGACGGCGACAGCGCAGATGTCATCAGCAACAACCGACAGGCTAAGAAGTCTCTATCCAGAATCAAGGTTAAAAAACACGTGGCACAGATCATCCAGATGGAAAAAGTCACTCCTCGCTCGATCGCATATATTGCATGCCAAGTAAGTTGTAATATTTGGTCAAATTTATTATACATATTCACTACATACTGGCATCAGGTGTGATTCGCACTTTCTTCCATTACCTCATGGCAGTCCATGGATGGCGACTTCGACTACGAACAGTTTTGGCGGACCATTGTGGACTTCTTCGAAAGGGCCCCTGGCCGAGAAGCGCAGCGCAGGGTGGAAAGACTTCTCAAATGGTGGACCAGGTGCATTTTTTACCCTCCAATCCAAGCCTTTCAAAAACTCTGTTTTCAGAAAAGTTTTCGGGAGGAACCGCCAAGGCGAACTTAGTGATGCAATGAAGGCCAACATGTCCGTCAATGCTCTCGCAAGGCAGAGAGAACAGTGTGATGACACTGTGTTTGATTCACCTTAGATATATAGCTCTGTGATCTGTATTAGATCTCTTATACATTTGTTTGCTAATTAGTTCGCAATCAATTAAAATTGTTCCAAAATCTGAAGGAATTCACTGCGCTAACGCGTGACAAAGCATACAAAGTGTCTCCAAAATTGACGCGTAAAGGCTTTCTCCTGAAGTGTGAAAAGAAATTCACTGCGCTAATGCGTGGCGAAGCATACAAGGCGTCTCTAAAATCAACGTGTTAAGACTTCCTCCTGAAGTGTGAAAATAAACTCACTGCGCTGATGCGTGGCGAAGCATACAAGGCATCTCTAAAATCAACGCGTAAAGACTTCCTCCTGAAGTGTGGAAAGAAACTCACTGCGCTGATGTGTGACGAAGCATACAAGGCATCTCTAAAATCGACGCGTTAAGACTTCCTCCTGAAGTGTGGAAAGAAACTCACTGCGCTGATGCATGACGAAGCATACAAGGCGTCTCTAAAATCGACGTGTAAAGACTTCCTCCTGAAGTGGGAAAAGAAACTCACTGCGCTGATGCATGGCGAAGCATACAAGGCGTCTCTAAAATCGACACGTTAAGACTTCCTCCTGAAGTGTGAAAAGGAACGAACTGTGTTGATGCGTGGTGAGACACGATGACTTCCTCCTGAAACGCCAAAATCCATGCAGTACATTGATGCGTGGCGAGACATACAAGTTGCTTGGTGGTAGTTGCTCTGTGCACGCCACATGAATCGTTATGAACGATCTCTAGAGCCCAATTCAAGCTCTGACCTGGGGATCCGGCTTTCTGTCTTTGATGGGCCGGATCCAGAAAATACAGCACGATCATGATACTATCTGTATTTTCTATTCTGAATGTCAATCTCAGAATAGAATCATAGAATGTGAGATGAGCGCACTTAAGATAAATATTTCATTCGAACTCCCACCGATGGTGCAACTGAAGGTGGATTAAAAATGCTTGACTGTACCGAATGATTAACACCTCGCGTGAATTCCTAATTGACATATAATGTACCATCCTTGAGAATCTAAAGCAGATACTGTCAAAATGCAGAGTAGTACATACTTTCATTTTCGCTCACTCAGTAAACATGTCAGTGTTTTTCACAAGTATAATGCATCTGCCAGTCATCGGATAAATGTATAAGGTCATGTTGGAACTCAAAGCAAGAGGTATGTTGATTCTCACACGCTTGATGAACATATTTCGCTGCTACACAAAGGTAAAACTTATTCCCACACATTCCCAATCGATATATAACGGATCATCATTTCAAAGCAGTACATACATTAATGTTCTTGCCCAACCCAGCGACAACATATCGGCCCTCATTCGCTGAGCAAATATTATCGTTCTTCACAACTAGAGCAACCCGCCAGCCAGTAGGTGAACAACAATATATATTTATTCTCGTTCACCAAGCGACATACATTTATTCTCAGTTACTCGGTGAACAAGCCATTGTTCTCTGGAAGGTATCCGCTTTCATTCTTGGCTTCAAAATTGTGGACCTTGAGTTGCGCATGTCGGTTGCAAATCATTAACCCTGATCATTAGCTTTTTCTCCGCCTTCCCTTCAAGTTCAAATTTGAGCGACGCGAGAGTCTGTTACTGATCGCAAACTTCAGTAGACCAGTCAAGAACACACGTTTCCTCTATAAGGTCAAATATGATTATGTGATGACTGATGGCAGAATTATGCCGATGGGTGTGATTATGTACTATATAATGTCATATATATCCTTCTACTTTCTCCACCAGTTCACTGATGGAGGCGAGTGATAGTTGCAACCAACAACAAAATTTATCGGCTGTTGCATATACAAATTCATTATATTGCGGGTAGTACAAAGCATCATAGAATAGAGGATATGTTTGTATATCGTGAAGGATATTGTGAGGTGGGCAATCTGTAGCATCGAGAACTCGAGGACACGTGCTGGGGTGCTTCAAGAGAAACACAGACATTCTAAATTCACGAAGGTGGTCATTTCAATAAAAGAAGGACGTCGAGAGAAAATGAAAAGACGTACACTATTTCTTCACTGCAGTCACTGTAGAGACAAGTCAGTCAGACGATACAAACCATGGATCCGAATCGCTATCACGCATTCATTCTGATGACTCATCATTCAACTGTACAGTTTTAGAACCCGAAAGGTTCCCACACTTCAGCGTATAGGTGCCTGTACGTTTGGATCCGACAAAACCCTCTTCCCACTAAAGTGGGAGTCGGGGACTCCATTTTCCCTTGTCTTTATCTAAATATGCGTCGTAATGTGCAAAAACCACACCTAACATGCGTGTGTGATAAGTACGTATGCTGCAGTTGTATGGTATCATCTTTAAAGTAGTCCAAAAACTTTGAAACAAAAACATATGACTACAATATCTCTATGGTCCTGATATCCATCAAGTCTCCAACAGAAACTCCTGGACTTACCCAATGATATTATAATCTGTCACGATCCTCTTGTATTCTCCACTGCGCTGCTGCGCCAAGCGAAATCAGTAGTCACCATCTTTCGCAGCGAAGAAACCAATGACTGAATTTATTCCTCTGGTAGGGGTGGTAGCTGGCATGGTAGAGCTTCGTACGAAGTGATGGAGACAGTTATTGAACTCTGATGATTCTCCAACCCAATTGAGGCCAGTGATGTCCCCCGACCTGCAGGAGCCGCCCGAGAGCCGTGTCCTGCTTCTCACCACAATCTACAGGTAGGTGAATGCCAAGGACACCAAACAATGAGTATGCGCGGTAACGCAGGTTGACACCCAATGAAGTTTTTCTCGCATGTTATGCATACTGGGACAGAATGCCACAGCGGCTGGTCGGTCTATGCCCGTTGCGTCCTTTATCTTCTGCATGATTGCGATGGAATCCTTGTGGTTGGGAGTACGATCATTACAATAAAGGGTCCAATTGTTCTGATAAAGAGAATGACTTTGGGAGCGATAAACTCCTGAAACGTCCATCCGCGCGTGTTCCAAGCGCTCTTTGCCAGTCCGCAAGACTTTGACGAAGGCAGAACATCAGACAGATAGACGATCGTGAGCGCAGAATGATGATACCATACGAACATGGAGCTGACCGATTCTTGGACTTCGAGATTGTTGCTCTTGTCGATGTAGCATGTATCGCTCCATGTCCAGTTATACCCCGCATCACGAGCAGTTTTGCAGAACGGCCGCAGCATCGTCATGCCGCCGACTGGCTCCAAATCTGAGTCGTACACGCACTTGCCCTGGATATCCTGCAGCAGCGGCTCCTTCCCTTCCCACCTGTGTGATAGCATGGCATATTGCAGGTATCTCTTCACTTCTTTGATGTGCTCGACGTGTAAGTCTGCATGCATGATTGTTGATGACACAAGCTCCTTATACAGCATGATCATTTTGAAGGCGTCTATCTGCGTCTCCCGATCGCATAAGAGACCTGTGGTGGTGTCGAGTACACGCAGCGGAGCGTTGGCGAGTTGGGCATCAATCACCCATCAAATGGCGCATTCTACTTCAGAAGGTCTGAGATACTGCTGGTGCAGCTCTGGGGAAAGAGTGAAACACGTTGACCAATGCGTTATCAGAGACTTACTTCGTGTCTGAGCATCAGGTGCATTGCCCAATATCGAGAGCATTGTTTGGAAAGTTTCAATCGCTTCATCATAGCGCCGCACAGCTTCAAGTTGTATCCAAGATAAGACAAAGAGTCGAGTTCAATAAGCTATGTATCACCTAGATGAGCATTGGCTATTGAATGATAGCCCCCATCGCACCTTCTGCGCGTCGAGAAGCGCTTCCATCCATAGCATTTGCCAACTTTGCCTTGCTACGATTTGCAAAGACAACATCAGATGCAGAGTTCAAGTTGATTACCGCCGAGTATAGGTCAATAGCCCTGTCATAATCGCTGGCAGCGAGGGTGGCATTTCCATTGGCAGCACAGAACACGCTACATTGTTGCCTGAATTCTGAGTCAAATGCAGGCGAGTATGACGGCCTCGGGTGACATCACTAAAACTCGCCATTAGACCGATCGAGGCAGCTGGCCTTCGCAGTCTCACCGATGGCATCCATACATGTATTTGTGTGCTTCGAGGGCTTCGTCGGATTTACCTGCCGAAAGGAAAGCCTGGCACCGTTTCTGGTATGTAGTGAGCAGCAAGGACCTGAGATCCCAGCTAACGAGCTGCAGAAAGTACTAGGTTATAAAAAGCATTAGGTATGCATCATGTCGACGCACCAGCCAGGTATTTGATGGGCAGCATTGCTTCCTCGTGTTGATCTACATTGAAGAGTACGATGGCCTGGAATACAGGATGAAGCGGATAACATGGAAGACAGATTAAATGTACTTTGATCAAAATAAGAAATTGGGGGGATGCCTTTCGAGATAAAGCCAATCAATGATGGTTTGATTAGGAAATGGGTTTAAACACACCCTGCGAGGGAGTGACATGCGTGCTGGGTACAAACTTGCAGTTGCGCTGCTCTGTTGCTGTGCTGGTCATCGGATGCGTGGGAAATCCCTTATAGGAGTGTTGGAACAGCGCATCATCAAATGTTCTTACTAGTTTCCGCTACCTCTGTAGTGGGTTTTCTCACTGTTTTGCAGTACATCCGATCAAAATTGGACCATTGCCGCGGAGCAGCACGGTCATGGATCGATCAATCCACACTGGAAGCCTACTCCAGCTTCTGGATGCTTCTGCTGATCGAGCAGCAACCGGGTATAGGAGACTTACAAGCTGAGCGCTGATCGATCGATCTTCAAGCGTTCTCGCGGTTCCTCCTCCCACCGTCGTACACAGACTTGCAAGCGGCAGAGGCCTCATGGCTCTGTCATCATCCTCATTGCCAATCCAATACTCATGCGGCGCCATCATCATCCCAACGTCAGGAGACACAGATGCATCGTCTGCGCTCTAGGTCAGAACATCGTGACTCTCTGCTTCAGTGCAACCTTGACTCAGCGCCTGCTAGCAGTCGGTGGCTCATCCAAATGACCTAGTATGACAACCCTTATCCATATAAACAGGAGCTTTGAAATGCGAGTCTTAATCAGGCGCGTGAGTAGTTTCATTTCACCCTCATAATGCCAATTACTGATCGCTCGACTACTTTGCCAAAGCAGAAGTGCGTGGAAGTTCTGCAGGTGATGTTCCGGCCTAGCAACTCATCAAATTCACATTTAAGACATCTGCGATGGACGCCAAGTACTTCTCTCACCCAAATCAATGTTTCTAATACATATCTGAGATGATATTCAACAAACGTGAGCTTCCGAATGGGCGTGCAATGCTACATGCAGGATTTAGTCTGGCCTACCTGAACAATATGGCCTTGTCATTCGACTCTCGCTTTGATCACCAAGGAAAACGAACCTAATGACCTCTACGAAGTCATATATTTGCACGAAGAAACACTGCATTTGTACCCACCATCTCGTGATTTCTCGTTGAGCAACCTAGAAGGCGCCCTGGTCACCCGTTCCAACAAACGAAGTGACATTGACGACATCACCTGAGCTGTCAGCCTTGAGCTTTATCGCTAGGCAATTCGGTACTGACGCGGACGTTGCGCTCACCTAGGTATCCACATTGTGACATCACGCTTGACAACCTTACCCTTGCGCTCAAAATTAGATATGACAAATTGGATGTCAACGAGGATCTTAACGGGGTCATTGGTTAGTATCGTGAATCCCTTTGGTTAAAGCAGCTTGACGATCCCGAGCGCCATAGAACTCTTTACAGGTTGATCTTGGTGCTCTGCTCTTGTTTCAGGCACACTCAGAAGAATGAAGATGTCGAGGAGGCCGTTACTCTTTACCGATAATCGTTGGCGGTTGTCTTCACTGCACTGTCTACACACAGTTGCATGCGTCTACAGGAGGCCTATAAATTTGTCTCGTTACCGAGTGTAGCTCAACTCTCTAACCTGCATCACGTTCGATAGCGAGTTCTGCTTGTATACTATGTACATTGTGTTCGAACTCTGTTGCCAAATCTAAATCCAGTCCACCAAGGCCTGGTCAGAAGGCGTCAAACGATTGTCTGCATGATGCCAAGTTTTTATGAACTGTTACAATATTTATGTTGGCACGTTGGAGGGCTCGAGTCTAGCAGTAAGTATACGACGTTGATAGAACACAGTAATGACGTAGGTTACATTGTTATGATTGGCCATAAATCCAGTTGTATAGTACAAGCGAGCACTGTCTGTAATCGTGTCAGCACTGACACTGCCCATGCGCAAAACCATCCACGAAAGAAACAATCGGGTGCTACCACTTCTCGATTTACCATGGTTCGTCCGCCAAATCTACAGGGTGCTTTACCCGAAGTTTGGACATTTCTGCCGCATCGATCTTATAAAACTGTATCACCTCTTCGATCTTGTTCAAGGTATCGCTATCCGCGCGGTCCAGGACGGTCAATGGCCTGATATAATCCTGAATTCGAACAAGAACTTCTCCGCTCATTGGAGAGGCGAGGTAGGATTTGACTGCGAGTTTGATGGCCCTACGAGTGAGTTCTTGGCTTTCTGACACGATAAAAAGTGTCTGCAACACAAGTGTTAGGTGGATGATGTAGGTCATCAAACGTCGAAGCGCCACGTCGCTGGCAATAAAGTGTCAATATCCTTTCGCACATGAAAAAGTGGTGGTGCGCACGATGTTTGGTATACATCTTGAGCCCATACAGCAATTACGGCACCTGCTGCGATTGGTATCACGATGGGAGCCGCATGTGCCGCCAGGGCTGACACGATGGTTGTGAGAGTACCAAGCATGGTGAACCCAGTTACTCTGTAAATATTTAGTGAGATAAAAAATCAGCTGTAACGTAAAAAACCAGCCTACATGGTCTTGGTGGGATCAACTATGGGACCAACTTGTATCTCATCGACCATGTTCATTATCATTGCCCTGAACTCTGGACTGCGCAAGTACTATGCATAGATCACGTTAGGGCGGATACGACGACAATAAATAAGATACCCATCACCTTTTGAGGGTCACGGAAGTTCCATACATCGACGATGTCAGCGTGAAGCACATCCAGACAATCCCGCATCTGGCGATTCTTGAACGATGGGCATGATCCAAGCGCCTTCCAATATCCTGCAAGACATGAAGATTTAGATTGTGCTCATCGATTATCGACGCGAAACTGAAACGAACTTTTCTTCCCAACTCTGACGCTGCGTAAGTCACGAAATAAGAATGAAGCAAACAATACTCACTCGATCAATGCCTCCATTTTAAGTCCAGGATGCACCCGCTGGGCAATGGAGGTCATCACCGCAGCGTCAAGCGTAGAATGCTGGCCGACGTAGTTTTCAGTTATTTCGATCAGGCGGGCGAGCGTCTCCTTGTAATTATCTTCGGCTGCAATGTTACACTTCAGAGGCACGTATGGACCTGTCAGGATATTGGTACGCACTGGAGATCGTAGCGTGTGGAATATCAGGCCCTGCAAATTGCTTTAGAGGTACAATGCAGTTATCGTGAACATCGATATCTGCTTTGTTCTTGACGAGTTCCTTTATCTCTTGGTCACTCGATCCATCAATAGAGGTTTCATCTAGATCTAGCTCGATCTGATCAATGAGCATATCGTATTTAGTAAGAACCACGACAACGGGAACTTTGACAAAGTATAAGCTCCAACGTAGCAAAGGTATATTCATCGATTCACTCACTGTCTCCCAGGATTCCATCACGTTTCCATGTCAAGAATTCCTTGGCCCCCGTCTCCAGGAAACGTCCGCCTGCATAAGGTATCTGAAAACAAAGCCTTGCGTGTATTTTGTCAGTCCACCATATCGGAATGGTCGAGATAGAGTCCTACCAAACAGCGTGCAACTGATCTTTCAAATCAGGCATTGCTCTCCGACGTCGAATAAAATCTTGGACAATATTGAGGTTGTCTTCTTCCCCTGGTTCGAAACCTTTGCTGTCGTGGAGAACAAACCTGTCGTTCTCCGGCGAGATGAACTCGTCGTCGATGCTGGCCTCGCCTGGCCTATCATGCGCAACGATCTATTGACAATATGAGTACTTGTGTTCATTGAAGCGTTACACTCAACTCACCGTTTTTTTCACCGTTTTCTTTCCTACTCCAAAAACGTGATCGATTAGTGACGACTTGCCAACGCCAGTCTATTAAAATCGCGTCGTTAATACTGGGCCTGAGATCGGATAAACCAGATACCTTTCCTATCACCAGGATTCGGAATCTTGGGAGCGTCAACCTCAGGAACGGCACCTTATGATCATCCTGACTCACCGAGGACAGCTCTTAAATATTCTGGCAGTGGCAGGCACGAGCTCACTGCTTTGGCCGGAAGAGACAGACTGCTCGGCCTGTTAATCTACGACTAGATGGTTTCGATGCTAAACGTAGATCCTCACTTCAGTTGAAATATTCTTGGAAAAGTCGACGACAATCCTGATGTTGCCATGCCACTTGATGTATGCTACAGGTTGTGTTCGTGAGCGATTAGGCGAGAGTGCGATTGTTGTTTCACCTTGTCCTTCGCTTGCGCTATACGCGCGGAACGTGTCACCGAGGTCGAAATGAACGTCTTCATGCTTCAACTCAGAATGTTCCTTGTACCATATGCGTAAGGAAAACGGATCCGGATGAGAAAGCACTCTGAGGAAAAAATACACAGAAGCGATTCAAGTGAGTTGAAGATGTGTTAGGGGCGAGTACTTGAAAGTTACAAGGGTGAAGAAAACACCTGTCGCAAACTCTTTCCTGCTTGGCGTTGAATTGCCGGCGAAGGGAGATTGCCAATCCGTACTTGAGCAAACTCTATATTTGTTGTCGACTTGCTGAAATCGACGGTGAAACCTGTTGGATATACTCAGCGGGGCTACTTGATGACAAGAATTGAGTGACCGAAGATGCGGCATGAAAGGGTTGTAGCATTAGCCATGCTGGTTTGATCTAAGGAAGAGTTCGGCTCTGAGCACCTCGTTGATTATAAGATACACAAAACAGTATAACCTTGCGATAAGAGAATACCGCAAGTTACGAGCTGTCCTGGGGTCTTCGGTTCCCAATGCCCATGTGGAGCATAACATAATGACGAGACCTCGAAAACTTGGTCTACCGGCAACTTTCTGGCGCTCGACAACGCCAACGATCATTCGTCTACACGAAAGGCGTCACCTAAACTCAACGTTCTTCATTTCCTATCTCTTTGCTACACGCCATCTAACTCCCCAGGTCAAGTTTCATCAATGCCTGCGGCAGCGTGCGTCCACTGAAAGTACACTTTTAGCGCCCACGCTCACCTTGCGCTCACCATTAAGTTCCCTGAGAAAGCCTAGGCTGTCACCGAATGGCCTCAAGATTGTGCTACCCCTATCAGCTATCCACTCACAAACAGCCGCAATGGTAAGTTAGGGAGCCAAAGTACTTCGGAAGGGTACGATTTTGGCCTAGTGAGTGTACGAGATGTGACTAATTTCAAATAGGGCTGCCTCATGGTACACGGCAGGCCCATTGCCCATTGCCCCACTGATTCTAGATAGGCTGGCTTCGGGTTGCGCATTTGCCGGGTTCACACACTAGTGCAATGATTATAAGGCTACACAAACGCTTCTCCTTCAGTCACACTTACCTTCCCCAATGGATCCTTCAAACATAAGAAAGAGAATTGGTCGCTTTCGAATCCTCGTTATAGGAAGAGCGAACGCAGGAAAAACAACCATCCTGCAGAGAATTTGCAACACACAAGACAAACCAAAAATATACGACAGCGCTGGGAAAGAGGTAGGCCCATCACATTGCTAGTAGGAGGATGGCAGTGACCCATCGACATCAGATCGATCTCACAGTTCTAACGGCATCCAAAGAGGTATTAAGGTGTGCTCTTACTTGAGGACATGAACTGACGTGTTCTCAGCGTGGAGAGCACGAAATCGAAAACGAAATGGTGTTTGAAAGTAACCCGGGCTTCGTGTTTCACGATTCACGCGGTTTCGAGGCAGGCGGCAAAGACGAATTCGACAAGGTCAAGGCTTTCATCACTGACCGTTCGACACAAGCCAAAATCGCAAAACGACTCCATGTTATCTGGTAATTGCAACTGATCAATCAAGACATGCGCTTTCTCACGGTTTCAACATAGGTTTTGTATCCCAATGGACGAGGCTTGCAGGTCGTTTACTGCAGGCGAAGAAAAGTTTTTCACTGAGTGCGACACAGCAAGCAGTAAGCTTTTGCATCCCATCCTCATTGACGTTCGACTGATGCGCAGAATCACAATCCTCAGTACCAGTGATCGTATTATTCACCAAGTTTGATGCGCTATATGGCATCGAATATCGAAAGCTGATAAATACAGGAACTTCGCGGAAAGACGCTAAACAACAGGCCCCGAAATGCGCCGAGAAAACATTCGCACTTGGTCCACAATTGAGGTTTCTCCAGGATGTCCGGTGGCCTCCAAAATGCCACATATGCCTTCCAAGTAAGCCGGTTTATGGTCTAGTTGCGATACATGATGACCATTGTTCCATCAGATATGAACAAGGGTGATGCAGATTGCAGCGCACTGATCGAACAGACAGCTGGAGCTTTGGATGACGAAGCACTCGAGCAATTATTCGTCTCCACCCAGCAGACCAATTTGGAGATCTGCATGAAATATGCAATTCAGAGGTAACTATCCATACCTGTCACAAGCGTTAGCGACTGATATTGTCCAGAACACTCCTACAACATCTTGACTCTACAGAAACAACAACATCTGAGAGTCATCAGGAGATGATAGCGACCTTGAGCTGCTGGTTTCCGCATCTTTGGGTAAGATTATCAGAAAGTTCAAAGGTTGCTCTAATTTACATTGGGCGTTGACTTGCAGGCAGTGCGTCTGTCAATCCTCATTGAAACTCGAACCGTGCTGATCCAAGTCGTTGCCCGCCGTTCGCAGGAAGTGAGTGTGTCGATCCTCGTTCGAGCAACAGCCGTGCTGATCCAAGTCGTTGCCCGCCGTTCGCAGGAAGTGAGTGTGTCGATCCTCGTTCGAGCAACAGCCGTGCTGATCCAAGTCGTTGCCCGCCGTTCGCAGTTCGTGAGTGTGTCGATCCTCGTTCGAGCAACAGCCGTGCTGATCCAAGTCGTTGCCCGCCGTTCGCAGTTCGTGAGTGTGTCGATCCTCGTTCGAGCAACAGCCGTGCTGATCCAAGTCGTTGCCCGCCGTTCGCAGGAAGTGAGTGTGTCGATCCTCGTTCGAGCAACAGCCATGCTGATCCAAGTCGTTGCCCGCCGTTCGCAGTTCGTGAGTGTGTCGATCCTCGTTCGAGCAACAGCCGTGCTGATCCAAGTCGTTGCCCGCCGTTCGCAGTTCGTGAGTGTGTCGATCCTCGTTCGAGCAACAGCCGTGCTGATCCAAGTCGTTGCCCGCCGTTCGCAGAGAGTGAGTGTGTCGATCCTCGTTCGAGCAACAGCCGTGCTGATCCAAGTCGTTGCCCGCCGTTCGCAGGAAGTGAGTGTGTCGATCCTCGTTCGAGCAACAGCCGTGCTGATCCAAGTCGTTGCCCGCCGTTCGCAGAGAGTGAGTGTGTCGATCCTTGTTCGAGCAACAGCCGTGCTGATCCAAGTCGTTGCCCGCCGTTCGCAGTTCGTGAGTGTGTCGATCCTCGTTCGAGCAACAGCCGTGCTGATTAATCAATAGGACATGCTTAACGACGCCGACTGTGTAGAGATACAGTCCGAGTTACTCCCTGTGGTATGTCCAGTTGCTCACAGAATGTACATATTCTCATGTTGCGAATTTGCCAGGCCCTTGGCTTATCGCCCTTGGACAACGTTGTTCAGCTCAGTTCTGGTGAATTCTGAGGCTACGCTGTGATTAACCTCCTTATGATCGACCATTTAGCTGTTGTCATTATCTTCGAACGCTCTTTCTACATTTTCGACGAGCGGCGCAATCTTCAGGACAAGCGGCAGTCTCGTCCCTCTTTTCATGTCGCTCTGCAGCAGTACATACCATCTCCGCATGCAGCTGCTGTTAGGAAATGTGTGAGCGATGCCGTCCAGGCTTATGAAAAAGCTGTGGCTACTGCTCCGAAGGAGAATGCACGAGTAGAGTTGATCCAGGACGTTCTTAAAATTGCTTTAAATCATCGCCTGCGTATGTTTCAACGTCATGTTGTGGCAGTGATTCCGCTGATCTACTTGTCTTCAGCAAGACCTTAATGCTAGGCAGTGCAACACGATGTAGACGGTGTTCCGAAGTGGAGCTCAGTGACGTGTCTTAGCAGTCAATGTACATTTCTTGAGTGGTCCTTTGAGGTAGTTTCAGGAGGTGGAACTGTATGAAATGTTTGTATGATCACACAATATGGTGCTTTTCACGGCATGGTGTGCGCGTTTGAAGCATGTGGGTCACCCTCAGCTGAGATAGTGGTGAGATCTACTAAGTTTGATGTATTTTTGGTCCGATCCAAGTACATCGGGTTCCGGTATGTTCGACGTACTGTTCTGCTCCACAGCCTATCTCGACTTGCGCTAATATTTTTAAACGCAATACCGGTTTGTCCATCCTTGGCACCACTTGGAAAAGGTACCGAAGGCCTTTCAGGGCAGGTTTCGTTGTAGGTAGTAACCTGCCTGAAAGCCCGCCTCCACAGGCCCTAGGGAGGCCTCCCTTTGCATGCTGTTCAAGACTGTTTCACAGAACCTCCGGCGAGAAGCTGCGACTGCTTTTGGTGGTGCACGCTCACTGTCAGTCATCACGAAAAGTCCACAAATCAGAAATTGCCTGATTTGGGTTGCGGCTGCGCCACAACGCTTCTCAGACGTGCCACGTCATGGTCTCGAGTAATCATTGGCTCTGTGTCATGCTAAACTATATGGCATTTGCACAATGTCATGCTAAGCTGTATGTCAACCTGACAGCGAGTTGCTAATGTTTATCTTGGTCTGCTATGACATTATCTATCCCATGTGTAGTATACTGTAGAGTTATGACCGTAACTTCGTCACGCGTCCCACCCCACAACGAATCGAACCTATTTGATGTGACGGTCACACTAAATTTCAGGGAGCGAAGCTATTTTGTGACACGCGGTAAAACAGGTAAAATTGCTAACAAAAAAACCAAAAATCGCTATGGACGAGTTATTTGTGCGACCAAAAAGGGAATGCTGCGTGAATAATGGAATGGCACCCATCAAACCATGCTTGTCCGAACAGTTGTTGAAGCTCTGATGAGAGTGCAAGGGATGGGATAGGACATGATAAAAAGTCCTTAGGAAGCTCGGAATCAAGTAAAGCTGGTTTTTTTGAGAAAAATGTGGGGGCCGATCCTTTATCGACATCGTCGAATGCGAGGTTGATGGGAAGGTTGAGCAATGTGTCCACAGGGAGATCTCGGGAAGGGATGGAAATGCGAATCCATGGTGGCATAGATTGAAGGCGCTTGATCTCATTCTGGATGAATTTTGGGGGACCTGTCTGAGGAAACGAGCGGCCGCATGAGATCCATTCTGACGGGTCAAAGCTGATAGACATGCTGAGGAAAGGTCAAACTCACATGGGATGCAGCTGTCTGTCTTTCTTATCCATCGGAAAAATGCCCACGTCAAACGGCCCAAGGAAACGACCTGAGGATCTTGGTCAATGTCACCACTAAAAGGTAGAGGGAAGGTGGTTTCACCGAGTCGGGTTGGCGAATCCATGTCGGTCGGGACGAAGCTAATTTGGGTGTGTCACACGTTGCAAGGCCCAACGAAGCTGCGAAGCTAAGTGTGACATGGTCACACCCAAAAGGGCGCGAAGCTACGGTCGTAACTCTACAGTATCATTGAGTAATATAATTAAAGTGCACCATAACCCTCTCGTGCAAGCACATCATCGTCAAGCTCCTCATCTGAATCAGCCTCTACTCTATCGTCTAGGTCTTCCTCATCTTCCTTGTCTTCCTCGCCGTCTTCCTCGCCGTCTTCCTTGCCGTCTTCCTCGCCATCCTCCTCGCCATCCTCCTCGCCGTCTTCCTCGCCATCCTCCCTAACATCCATCTCAACATCATCCAATTCTTCATCATCAGTGGGGGAATTTGCAGGGGCTCCGTCACTCTGCAAGAAGTTGTCCCATTCCCGTGTGACCTTATGACCAACACCTCCACCGCGAAACCGCATGAACATATCTTGGTCTACAAACCTTGTACAGTAGTTAGAATTGCGAATAGTATAGAAGAAAAGTAGGACATACATATTGACATAGTGATACCGCCAGTCTTCATCACCATCTTCTTCGCGACGGACAAATGAGGGTCCCATGTAGTGATCTGTATGCCCATGTGCGAAGGCAGGAATGAGATGCACCCCACGAATCACTTGATCAGGGTCAAGGAATCCAAAACACACGGGATCATCGCCTTTGAAGAATCCAAGCTGGTGCAAACACTTTGCAGACCAGCCACCCTTGAACGTAGTATCACGCCCAAACCAATGTATGAAAAGTACGTGCATGCGCAGTGGTTTTGATGTAGCTGTATTCTCACCGCCATAATACCAAACGTCCAAGTGAAAAATTCGGACAACTCGTGCATACCAGTATGGATGGCGTTTGTCATCTTCTTCGTGCGACAGGACCATAATATCAGCACAAGTCCGAGGGTTAATCGTATCTTGCTCCCTTCGAAGGTCATACGTAGTATAGTTCACCTGTAGCACACCATGTTCGTGCAGTTGGTTGTTTGCAAATATGACCTGGTCCCGATCTTCATCAGTAAATTCGTGTTCATCACCTGAGTATTCGATCCCTCGAAGGCGGCCTAGAATATGGTCTTTTAAACGTGGAATAAAATTCTACCTCACAGTAGATTAGAAATGATATTAGCACAATAAGCGCACATACCTGCGTCGCTGGGTCATTGTCAAGTTCACTCAGCCATGCAGTGAGGTCATACGATGCCTTCAGGTAGTGTGATATATGATAATGATCAAAGGGCGAAGTGCATTGACGTTTCTTATTATGCCGACCAGCTGCTTCTGCCAGCTGCTTGCGTCGTTTCAGGATCTTCTTCATAAGTCGGTGTTGTGCCTCCTGACGAGCCATATGTTTTGCTGTGGTTTTCTTGCTCTTCGGAGTCCTAGGGTACCAACGCTTAAGTGATCAATGCTCCAGTTCGCCCTACCAGTGTGTGTAAGCATGTAAAGCCTAGATATTTCTTAAAAAAATGTACTGGCTGAGTAGAAAAATTATCAGTGGTTCCCATGTGCCGTATCGTATTAGGATAGTCTCCAAGTGCGTGATACTTATAGGTCTCAAGGTTGAGCTTCTTCAACTTTGGCCCAATGGCCGCTGAATCCGTGGCCTTTTTCTTCCCATCCCTAACAGTCTGCTGACTCGCCAAGGCTGCAGCTCGTCGTCCACGGGCAGCATATTCATGAGGGAGCTCAGTGGTGTGATAGTGCGCACATGTTGTTTTGGAAAACTTTCATACAGACTGACCCAAGACCACGGTCGCAGTGTCGAAAAAACCCAGGGTATCATCAGTATGCAATCGGAGCTTTGCATACCCATGCCATACGGCTAGGTCAAAGAGAAGGTCGAGGACGATCGAGTCATGCTCTTTGGGAAGAAGATCTTCGAATACAGGGAGGGCACACTGCATGATTATATTATAGCGTAATTTACAAATAGCCCATAAGACGTACCTGAAGGAGATCTTCAAAATCTCTTGCAGCAAGTTTCTTCATAGAGGACGCATTACTGTGGAAACACCGAATAGTGCCCTGTCCGAAAGTTGGAACCATGCAATACCTGGCAATATATCAGTCGGGCTGACGCTGTCAGTATACCATTACTTACTGTTTATTGAGGTCTTGAACGGAATTTCCTGCTGCTGCATGCAGAATTTGCATAAGGTGAGTAAAGATTGCTTTCCAAACCCCAATTTCGAACTCATGCAGGAGGTCCACGACAAACAGGACGAACAAGTTGAATCCAAACCTCGCGAGTTTCTCTGAGAACGCGTTCTAGTATATGATCAGGACAAGTTATAAGATTAGGTAGATGTACTTACTCGAGTAGGCACCATGGATTTATCGTTCAAAAGATTGTTCACCCAAGTACCAGAAACTGGAGCCCCGTTTTCGAATATGAGTGACCGAGCCCTTGCAACACTATGACGTCGTGAATGGTCATCGACGTGCTGCAACTTGTCTCAGCGTCTCAAATCAGACTTCATTCCCATCTTTGGAACATCCGCCTTCTTCACCAGACAGCGCGGACATGGGCATTGACCCAGAAATTTGATACTCGCAAGTAGAATTCTAGAGAATAATGTCAGGGTAAATAACAAGGTTAAAAATGATACCTACTTTTCTGGATAGTCGGCTGAATAAGTGAAAAACCGAGGGAAAACTCGACGAGTGATGCCATCTGAACATTTGATGACAATACCGTGTTCATAAGCATCCATGAACTTGTCGTCCAGGAGGAGTGTCCAGATAGCGTGCATCAGCTCCCGCTTGCAGAAGGTATATGTCTGGTCTGTCGAGGGTTCCCCAAATATGCCAATATAGATTTCTTGGAAATCACTGGGGAGCTATCTCAAAATATTCAGCCCTAATGTTCAGCAGTAGCAGATGAGACAATGTACAGTTGGTATATAGGCGACATGGTGACATGCACCAGATGTTGGCTTTCCTCTAGTATATTTAGACTGATTCCCAAAAAATAAATAAAACGGCCACATTGAAGCGTCCCCAAAATTAGTTAGATGAGTCGCATCGGACCAAAACATGAGGGAGGCGACCACATGTTCAAGACCATCGTCAGGTTCACGCGGCAACTTATTAATCTCCTCGTACGCTTCGAGCATGGCAGGGGAGCTGTGAGCTTCTGAGAAGACCTGGACGGTCTTTTCCTCTGAGATCTTCCAGTACTGAGTGAAAGGCGTCATATTGAAGGTCTGCGAGATATTGTCCTCAAAAACGGCTGTGATAATGTCAATGAGTGAGCGGTGGTATACTCCAGGTATCTCCAACTCAGGAGCATCCTCCTCTGATGCCCATTTCTGCTTCTCCTTTGGTAGACGAATCCTGACTGTGGATTCGCACCAACCATATTCCTCCTGGAAAGGATTGGACTTGTCGTCCAAATATCTATTGAGCAGCTTCGACTCACGGGTATGCATGATTCCAACTGCGTCTTTCTGGCAGAAGAGAGGGTCATCGAGAAATGTACCAAGGCGATCAAAGTGCGCGGCCGAGTTCAGACCTGTCCCAGAATACTGCCATGCCATCAAAAGTCCGCACGTTGGATTGGTGAATGCATCGAACAATTCATCCATCCCTACATCTGTGGACGGAAGTCCAGCAAGAATCTTCGTGCACTTTGAGCCTGGTTGACCGCAGTCAAGAGTAGGGGCATCCGTCACAGTGTTAAGAGTGGTGCCGTCTGTGGGAACCAGTGTGGGATGGGTGGGATAGATACGATATAGGCCCATGTTGTCGGGTTTGGTCTCGAAAGGCACAAGGGTGGGTTCTAGGCTAGGGGTGGGGCTGGGTGACCGAGGGCGAGTGACAGCACTGTTGACCTCTGTATGTGAGGCCAATGCTGCAGTCTGAGGCTGCTCACCACACTGCTGGCGACTGGTGCCTGGCATATGAGCAAGATGTGTTGCTGAACCAGGAAGGTAATCGACATAGCGGCGTGGCATTCGGATTGTGCGCCCAGAGCGTTGTGAGACAACTGGACGGGGTGGCAGGTCTGTAACCTGAAATTGTATCAAGATCAACGAGACATTACAATGTAATTCACTAAAAGAAAACACTCACATTATCTTCAGGGAGTGGAACATTGTCGCCAGCTATGTGTGACGGTCCAGCAACATCATTATCCTGCTGCTACAATGTTTTATGAATATTATGAGAGGCTATAAATGAAATACTCACGGGCATGTCATCATCAGGCGGGTCAACCCAGCCATCATTGCAGATATGCTGGATTCCGTCCTGAACAATCTCATCTGAGTCTTCAATACGAGGCCTCTTCTTGCTGTGCTTATCCGACCTGCGCTTTTTTGGCTTTTGATAGATAGAGTCGGTCAGCTTAACAGACATATTATGCCCACACTGTGCAGCATGCGACGACAGCTGCCTTGTTGATTTGAACTGCCTCCCACAACCGAGGCACGTTGGACGGCCTGACATAGTTAACAAGATACAACACAGTGAGGAAAGTGATAAGTTACCTGGTCGCAACGCATCTGAAGTCTTTCATCACCAAAACTGTCCAACGTATATATAACTTTATATACACATGTAAACACTGTAACACACTGTAACGACTGTGCCTAGTATCTATAACAGCGCCTAGAATACATACCAATATACCGAATCGATTTTTATGATATGGTCACAGCCATGTTCCAGATCGCATGATATACCTGCTGCCATGTTCCAGAACGCTGTATGGCTGCATTGTCTTATATTTAGTTATAACATCAAATCACAATGATATTCCATGATAACCACATATTATTGAGCTATATGAATACATGCGATACAGTGGGATATAATCTAATGTACTAGTGGTAACTGCGTACCGATCGTCTGGACATGAGCACTGAATTTGAAAATGGCGATCAAGAGCATATGCGTGATGTCATTGAAGACTGCAGCGAAAAACGAAGTCTATGAGAGGATGCATATTAGTCCGTGAATAAAGCACACAAGCAGATGGGTCAGCGTGGTGGTATGAATGTGAATGCAAAGGAAGACGGGAAAATGATGCGGTAGCTAGAACGTGAAGTGAGTGAAGGTCATAAGTATCAAACGGACTGCGAGAGTAATGCGACTTACCTTGAACAAACTATTTCCTTGACTTGCGTTTCGAAGCCTTCTTGGGTGGGACAGCAACACCGCTCTTTCTGAGTTGTTTGCGCTTAGTAGGCCGAACCTCCTCCTCCTCCTCCTCCTCCTCCTCTTCCGTCAGAGGGCTGTCGTCATCGAAAGTGGCCACATTGGGTGCGGAAGCTTTCTGCTTGCGTGAGTTGACAGGAGGATCGGGGGCAGGGGGTGGTGCAGGTATGACCGTCTCCTCGTGCGAGTTGACAGGAGGATCAGGGGCAGGGGGTGGTGCAGGTAAGACCATCTCCTCGTGCGAGTTGACAGGAGGATCGGGGGCAGGGGGTGGTGCAGGCAAGACCGTCTCCTCATGCGAGTTGACAGGAGGATCTGGGGCAGGGGGTGGTGCAGGCAAGACCGTCTCCTTGTGTGAGTTGACAGGAGGAAGTGACAGAGGATTAGCTAGTGCTTGGCCTACAGGAGAATCTGGAGGGGGCAGCCTATCAGGAGTAGAGGACTTGCGATGCGACTCTTGTTGCTTATCGAGTACCAAAGACTGTGTAGACGTCGTGTCCGAGGATCCGGAAGCCCGTGCTGCACGTGCTGCAAGCTGCCGTTCTATGGCGATCATGTCGTCGTCCTCCGAACACTCGACATTTGCAGAGTGACTAAGTCTGGCACCGTTTTCACTGCCAAACAATATCCTGGATCCATGTTAGATAAGAGAATAGTGTAGAAAATTACTTACTTGTTATAATGTCCTAGCAGGGAGTCGACCCACTCCCCATCTATCCTCCCCCGAATTAAGTTAACTATTCTGGTATAAAAGTCAGTATAATAAAATAAGGCGTCCCGATCTTTCCATTTATCGAGCGAACTGATTGCGAAGCGAGCCTGTACAGTACAGACTAAGTAAGTGAAGTCCATGTCAAAAACAAACACTTACCTGAACCGCAGCATATGCGATATGCTCGGCCTCCACTCCTGCCATCCCATGGAGTTTCGCATTGCAAGCATGTGTGCCATTGGAGACGCCGGCCTTGAGTGCAGATGATGGAGATGTAAATACGTGTTTAGTAACCTGTATATATTAGAGTCGTCCGATATAATTGAATAAAAAAAATGTACTCGCTCCAAAAGATATCCACGAAAAAGCCCTTCAAGTATATCTTCGGAGTCGAAGTCTTCGCCCGCAATGTCGCCTGGATAGAGATAAGCGGGCCACAAGGCAGCGGTTACCTTCAATGACCCGCTATCGAATTTTGTCTTCATCCTGTAGTGCCTACCGTTAATACAACTGATTAAAAAAAAAATAGAACATACCCGTGCGGATCCTTGATGTAGTCGGTCAGATATTTAGCCGGACAAAGCATTTTGCCCAGCTGGACGTGGTTGAATCCCATTTGGGCACGACTCTTGCTGTTGTCAGTGATTGGAGGGCGGACAACGTCTTTGTCGGGGTTTGGGGCTGCGTATGAGCCCATGCGTGACCTGAGGCGACTTGCATCCTCAGAGCGCGTATGATTTATCATATTTTGCATCTGTAAATAGTTAGCTCTGATTAGTACAATTGAAAGTTACGCACCTCGCCGATGAGTTGCGTGAGCTCCTCGCGTTTTTTCCTCCGGCCAATCAGAGTCTCGAGATAAGGAGCGTGTCCCATGACGTATTCGAACGTCCGCTTGTACCGCGCACGCGTAAGTTCATCACTAAAAACAATATTAGTGCGCATATATGCGGTCATATACTATACATACCAGTCATCCAGAATCTTCTTCCGAGCAGCCTTGATTTGCTCTTCTTCCGTTTCATCTCCATCCTCGGCGGCTTCTTCCTGCTCTAAAAGTAGACATACCTGGATCATCTGCTTGAGATCGCAGAACATGTCTAGGTCGCGTGGGATCCAGCGTGCAACGTGGATACACTGCTCCCGCGGCGTAAGTAATTTATTACGCGATCTTCTAGAATCTCGTCAATCTGAAATGTAGATGAATAAAAAATCTCTCACCTTTTTGGCTTTTCATTCTTCTTATTGATCGTTACAGGGCTATGTCTCCTATATGGTGCAGGTGAGTTCTAATCCGAACAACTGGCAGCATCACTCACCTGGCCTTTTTGGACTTACGTCCGCCCTTGTCAGACGATTTGGACGCGTCCCTTCCGCGTTTGCTAGGTACCCGAGGGGGTGGTGTGCTAGGAGGAGTACTGATTCTGGAATCTTCGGAGCTCGTAGATGAAGAGCTAGATCCCGAAGATCCAGATGAGGAAGCGGATGAAATCGAGTCAGAGCGTTTGCGCCGAGCCATGGTGTTGGTGAGAGAAAGAGAGATAAGATTGCGCGATATTCAACGTGTTATTGATACGTGTTATTGATAACTGTTTGTTTAGATAGATCTATTAATAACATATTAGATTCATATGATGCGACACACAATACAAAGTAACATTTGAGCAAGGTCTCGTAATATACATGTAGTACACTAAAAAAAATGAGATGTTACACGCTCTCCTCATCTGAGGAGTCCAAGTCTGGCGTTTCAGTTCTTGCCTTGACATAATAACTCCACGGCGCAGTGGGATTTGCAGGATCGGGATTGGGGTTCCCAGTGCGCCTGGTGAGAAGGTCGCAAGGAGACGCAACAACTGGCCTTGAGAAAGGTCACTGAGTTAAAATTCCAAATGAAATACTGACAACTTACTGAAATTCTGGATTGATTGCAGCGAGATTTTCATCCTCTGTGTCTTCGGTTTTCATCTCCGCATCATTCCCACCCTCCTCCACATCTTCAGTTTCCAGCTCCGAGGCACCAGAATCCATCTCAGGTTCCGTGTCAGAATCTGTGACCTGTTGACGTATGCGAAAGACTATTTTCTAAGACAATCATTAGATTAGTTTTCAAATGAAAAAAAAAAATACCTTAGGACCCGGAGAATCTAGATTGAGATTAAAGCAGTAAGTATTGTCTAAGGAGACTGCATTCTGGATATCAACAAATATGACATCCCCAAAGACGTTTACCACAGATGTCCAGGCGTCGTCGGCAGTGACGTTAGACATTGATATTAATGTTGGATAAAGATAGCAACCGATGCAAAAACTTCACACAATCAGCCGGGAGAACCCGGTGGAGACTGAATTTGAAAATCAACCATGATCGTATGTTATATGTTATATGTTATTACTTATGATCACATGCCCTTACTTTTGATCGTATGTTGATCAGGTAAATCTCAAACTTAGGAAACTCTTGGGCTAACTTCATATGCATAGGTCCCACCTCTTCCCCGGTGTAATTATCCCGGGGAGGATTCACATGCCACTCTGATGTGGAATTCCGGTGATTCTCTCTCTTGAGACTTGAGGTGCGTTCTGTCAATTTTGGATATGTAGTGCGTCTTTCTAGCTACTCGTACACTCTTTTTAATTCAAATATACACGGTTTTATATATCCTTGCCTGACTCTTAAGTTCTGAAACATTTCCCGGTCCTGGCACCCCATGGCCCGCAATCATCTCAGCTGTTTAGCTTGTGATTCAACATTTAGTTCACGCAAACAGTTATCGGCCCATACAAGCCAATGCGCATACGATTTCTCCCTTACTGATCAAATTTTCAGTCGGAAACGCAAGTCGGAGAAGAAGAAGAAAAGAAAAGAAAAGAGAGCGCGTCATGACAAGTCTCCCGATCGCATTCCTGAAGAGGTTGTAGTTCCCGATCAGCAAGATATTCAAGATGACATGTATATCGATCAGGAAGACAATGTATGTATTGATTTGATTTATCAAGTGGGATCGTGCTAACTACATGTTTGCTAGATTGAAATGGGGCGTGTACCATCTCCCTCACCCCAACCTATTGTCTCGCAGCGCTCTGGATGCAGAATCCGCATGCCCGCTCGCTTCGCAGACTTTCTGCCAGGGTCTGCAACTCACCTTGCCCATATGCCGCTCTCCGACCGTCAGCAACGTGTACATCACAATGATGTCATCGCGGATCAACATATGGACCCCCTGCCTCGTACTCCATCCCCACAGCAATCAGAGCATGATGACCCACCCCTTTTTATTCCCTTTGAGACTGAACCTAACGAAGCAGGGCTCTACCGAATTTACCCTACCCGCCCCAGTGTACACCCCACTGAAAATACCCTTGAAAGTGTTACCGATGCTCCGACACTTGCTGGAGGTGACCGGATTCCCAGCTCCAGTCGGATCACTGAGGGCTTGTCATCTAAGGAGATCAGTCAAGACGATCTCTACACAGCTTTCTCAAACCCCACTTCCGGCCTACTCATGGCCTATCATTACTCCGGGACCGGCCAGCAGTCCATCACAGAGCTACAACGACTTACCACTTTCATTGGTGATCCGCTATTCAATCATAGTGATGCTCTTTCATTTTCCCATAAACGGGAATCAAAGAACATTGATTTATATTTGCAGGATAAGTCCAATCCGTTCCGCGAGGAATTTGGCTGGCGCCGATCTGCCGTCAAGATCAGGCTGCCCAAAGAGGGTAAAAAGTGGAATACCGAGACTGAGGCCCCAGAGCTCGAAATCCCCGGAGTCTATCACCGCTCGATCACTGACATCATTGAGTCTGTTTTCCAGGACGACGTCGCAATAAATTTCAATATGACGCCCTATCGCGAGTTCTGGAAATCTCCGAACGGTCGCGACGTCGAGGTCTTCTCAGAAGCCTACTCTAGCGCCGAAATGGTGGAGACATATGCAGAGATCAATGATCTGCCTCGTGAAGCCGGAGAGGATCTCGAACGTGTCATTGCATCGCTTATGCTCTGGTCCGATGCTACCCATCTGGCGAATTTTGGTGACACTTCACTCTGGCCGTTCTATTTGTATTTCGGCAACCAATCAAAGTACACCCGGGGCAAACCAACTGCCTCTGCATGTCACCACGTCGCATACATTCCTTCAGTAAGTTCCTGATTTATATCTACAAATACACCTAACTCTAAACCGATCTTCAGTTGCCCGAAGATCTACAAGATCAGTACATGTTTATTTTTGGCGAGCCTTCAACTAGCCAGGTCTTCACGCATTGCAAACACGAGTTGATGCAGGCTATATGGGATCTACTGCTGGATGACAAGTTTATGCATGCCTATCAGTACGGTATAGTAATAAAATGTAGCGATGGGATCACTCGTAGAGTGTTCCCTAGGTTTTTCACATACTCAGCCGACTATCCCGAGAAGTGAGTACATTAATTCATTCTCGAACACTTATATATTACTAATGCTTCTTAGAGTTATTCTTACAGGCATCAAAAATCTCGGACAATGCGCTTGTCCACGCTGTCTCACAGAGAAGAACGAGATTCCTTTGATGGGATCGAAGGTAGATATGAAACGTCGGATCAGGCGCATGCGAAAGGATGACAGGATACACCTCCGAGAAGTTGATGATGCCCGGGCACTCATTTTTCAGTTGGGTGTGCCTGTTGATGGGACACGTGTCAAGAATATTCTCAATGACGAGTCATTGGTACCAACTCGAGTAAGTCTGTTATATTGCTTCACTGTCTAATAACTAATGATGTGTATAGAACTCATTTTCTGTAAAGTTGTCACCTTACGGATTCAACCGTTTTCGAATGTTCGTGGTCGATGAACTTCATGAATTCAAACTCGGTGTGTGGAAGGCGAATTTCACTCATTTAATGCGCATTTTACATGCAGCTGGTGGAGATTCCGTCCAGAAGCTCAATAAGAGGTGTGTATTTTCAAATTTTCATTACGTCTACTGATAGATCTTAATAGATATCGTGCTACGCCAACCTTTGGTAGGGGAACCATACGAAAGTTTAATTCAAATGCGTCGTCGATGAAATACTTAGCTGCAAGGGACTTTGAGGATCTTCTGCAGGTAAGTATCGGTCCCAAATTCCTTGATATAGTTGTTGATGATCTGGGTTTATTTATAGTGTGCGCTTCCTGTGTTCGAGGGCTTACTGCCAGATGACGACAATAAAATGGTTCTAGACCTTCTGTTCGATCTGGCAACTTGGCACGGGTTTGCAAAGTTGTGCATGCATACCGAGGACACTCTTAACTTCTTCAACAATGCCACAGCTGTTCTGGGCCAGACGATACAAAGATTTGCCCGTACAACATGTGAGCGCTACTATACGACAGAGCTACCTCATGAATATGCAACACGTGGACGACGGGAAGCTGCATTAGCCTCCAAGCTTCCAGAAGCAGACCTAAAAGGCAAGGGCAAGGCGGTTCTATCGGGTCCGAAGCACAAGAAACTCAATCTCAACACCTACAAGTATCACGTGTTGGGAGATTATCCCGATACAATCCGACAGTTTGGTACTACTGATAGCTTCAGCACGCAGCCAGTAAGTTTTCATTTGAATGCATATGTAGTATATATACTGATCATACTATTTGAATATGTACTAGGGTGAACTTCAGCATCGGCGCGTGAAGCGCTGGTATCCGAAAACACCCAAGGGCAAGCAGAACACCGTGTCAAGTATGACACGGATCGAGACTAGGGAAAGATTGCTGGGAAAGATTGTGAAGGCACGAGCTGCATTGACATCAAACGAAGGTGATGCCGTATCACAGCGCCGCCAACGCGATCGGACGTCACCAGCCGATCACTACCATATTTCTAAGTATGCTAGGACCTCACACAATCTCACAGAATGGCTAAGTGAACTGCCAGAGGATGATCAAGCAGTAGTGGTGCGTCTTTTTTATAATCTTTTAGAGTGATTTCATCTGATGGGAGGAATAGGACTTTATTCCAAGACTCAAAGATCATCTTCTTGCACGTCTTCATGGGATCGAGTACACTGGAGAAGAGCTTGAATTCACTGACGAAGAACAGTCCCAGATCATTATCGCTAATAACAAACTCCACGAGCACAGCATCCTCCGGATCAACTACACTACCTACGACTTACGGCGAGAGCAAGACTCACTCAACCCACGCACCCGTGCTGACATTATGGTTATGTCGCACGAGACCGATGACGCACGACACCCTTATTGTATGCGCGGATCATCCGGATCTTCCACATCGATGTTTGGGATCGCAATGATGCGTCCATGGAGAAACCGCATCGGATGGATTTCCTATTCGTGCGATGGTTTGGACGCGATGGAGATTACCAATCTGGGTGGTCTGCAAAATGGTTGCATCGCATTGGCTTTCTTGTTGGCGAAGATCCCGGCGCCTTCGGTTTCCTGGACCCTGATGTTATCATTCGAGGGATTCATCTTATTCCAGCTTTTCAATTTGGCAAGACTGATGAGTTGCTTCCTCATTCATTTGTCCGACGCGAGGCAGATTCAAATCAAGATTGGGTGTATTTCTATGTAAACATGTGAGTGCGCTGCGCCTATCGACTTCTACTTAATTGATCTATCTATTTATAGGTTCGTAGATAGAGATATGTTTATGCGGTACCGAGGGGGAGGTATCGGCCACAAGATAACTCGCGAATGGGATGAGTTCCTGCAAAGTGATGGGGCGCGGGTGGTAAAGGAGGAGGAAGACGGAGAGGAGGAAGAGGAAGAGGACGAGGAAGGGGAAACAGACGGAGATGGAGATGGAGACGGAGAGGAGGAAGAGGAAGGTGACAGTGACGGAGAGGAGGGAGAGGAAGGAGACGGAGAGGAAGAGGAAGAGGAGGAAGGAGATGGAGAGGAGGAGGAGGAGGACCCTGATAGGATAGAAGCAGACGAGGGAGAAGAGTTAGATGACAATTTCATGGCGGAAGAGGGCTACGGCGCTCTGTAGTATAATATACTATGTTTTCACATTTGATCCGTTGTGTGATCCATTGTGTGATCTGTTGTCGAGTCACCCATCTTAAATCTCATTATTAGGAGGCAGATTAAAATTTTCAAACGCACATATATTCATTTGTTACTGTAACGAGGTACATATAATAGTACTACCACCTTATAACTACAATATATGTCGCTGTCACTGTGGTTGAACTGTGTTAAGATTCGTGTGAGGGTCGTGACGTGTTTATAACGTGTAAGCTTCGTATGACGCATGCAAATATGCTTTGTAATACTCGGTCGATTTCAAAATTCCTAATCAGGTAGTGTCATGTGCTGTGACATTTGAGCGGTTTTGGTGATGTTATAGTCACCAAGACTCGGTGTCGACTGCTGCCGATTCTAATCCTTGAGCAAGATAAGCTCAAGAGTCGTGGGCTGATCCACTGCTCATGCGACCAGCGTGCCAAGCTCACCAAGCCACAAGTCACACTGCGACACCAAACATTTAGAAATTGATATTGAATATTGTAAAGCATACAGTACAAATAACATAATGGGTGCACTGGAAGTGGCATCTGTTAGACGCTGTTGTATCTTTCACATGGAGATTCTCATCAATCACCATGCTGATCAGGAGGGGAAGCGCCTGGTTGACGAGAGGGGTAAGAAGAGACCTACCAGGCTGGCTCACCTACAAAACGCCAGTCAACTTGAGTCATGGAATGGAGAAGGAAGATCCAAAAACTAAAACTCACCTCTGACACTTAGACAGGGAGGGGACCAGAACCATCCAGAATAGAGCCAAATGTGGGAATGACACAAGTGGAGTGGGGGATCCGGGGATAGCAAGCGTGATGTAAAAGTGGGCGTATATAGTCAATATCTCTGGTAGGTTAGGAGCGCCAAAATCAGAGTTGACCTAGAACAAAATAAGTGTCAAACTACTCACTTGAGTGTGTCAATGACGCTCTTGAACCCCGAAAATTGGAGTCTCAGAGGTTCGTCTCTCATGGTGAAACGTGAATGGTAAGGCTGCTTGCGGTCTTGCTTCCCATGACAAGCGAGGTGCATCCGGGTGTTGTGTGGCAAAGCATCGAGTGCACCTGCTCGTGTGGCGTCATCCCAGAGAGTGCAGTGGGGCAGTCGCAGAAACGAGCTTTCAGACGAGCTAGATTGTAAGAACAGATATAGATGTCCTCCAGGCATAGTTTATGCCGTCCATCTGCCTTCATTCGAAAGGGGTGCGCTGCATGGAGAGGAATAGAAGTGAAGGTTGCGGTTGGTTGGCAAAAATCACGTGACTTTTGAAAGTCAGCTGGAAAATGCCAGAAATGCAAAGAGACGCAACTACATGTTTCTCATAATCGTTTTTATAATCATCTACTACTATGTCAGCCCAGTCTATTCTCATTGATGGTACCGACCAGGTCATTATCCATGACAATGTCATTGTCATGGATATCGAGAACCTCCTGACTAGCTGGCCGACTTACGAGATTAAGTTTACGCCCGAGAACCCGGGCCCATTGGTGAGTCATCTCGATCTTTTCATATTACTTACTGACTTTGATTTAGAAACTAATCATCCGGCTCAAGGATCCCGTCAAGATGGTCCATATTGAGGAATCTACCGATAGCGAGGCGGAGTTATTGATACCAGGCAGTCGCAAAAGGAAAAGGTGTGTCATTTTGTTCCAATCTTCTCACAAATAGATTGCTAACTCAATGTACAGAACCGATCGCGAGCGCAAGAAAATCAAAACGTGAGTTGGTCTTGCGCGTCATATTAACTAACATTAAACTTTCTAGGTTCTCAGCCGATACCATCAAGCTCGCTGAAGATCTTGCAGGCCTCAAAATTACGTCTCAGACTTCCGGGTAAGGTTTTCTTATATTTACTTGATCATCATGCTGACAAATTTTCATTTACAGAAATAACACTGTCAAAGCGAGACCAGTGCGCTTAGTGGGAGCCTGCAAAGATCCTCTGCCACGAAAACCCAGATTCAACAGTAGCACTCATTGGCCGCCCCGCCGCCATCTCCGTTTCAGGGACGTGGAAGATAAGGATTGCATTGCCAGTTTAGATGTTTTGCGAGCTGTGCCTGCTCCTGTTACCACAGACTTTACTTAGTTTATATTTTGCTGTACCGTTCTTTTTGCTCTCGCACTGCTTTCATGTTATTTTATTTTGTAGTCTGTACACAAGAATCATGTAATTGTAGAATTAATCATTGTAATTGACGCGTCAACATAGATTTTGAGATATCGCATAGACGCGTCGAGGTTTCCCAGCGTGTTCTCGAAACACGTCAATAGAACCAAACAAAAGCTTGTAATCGATAATGCCATGCACGCGTCTTATTTCCATCTTATCTACTACTACCATCATGCCAGCACGTAGGCATCGCTCACTGTCAACCTCCAGTAGCTCGTCATCAGACAGCGATGACTCGATGATGAGTCAGTCACGCTCCACTTCGCCACCTACGACTTCGCCAATGCACAAAGAACCGAAACGGAAGAAATCCCTGCAAAAACGCGCGAGGGAATCATCGGATAGCAACACCGACGCGAAAAAACCCAAAAAACGAACAAAGTAAGTCAGTTTCGCATTATCAGGTGCATATATGCATATCTAATCCCTCCATCTTAGGAAACATAAAGACTCAGACTCAGGCAACAAACCCAAACAGTAAGTACATGCCAGCACATCTGAGTCATGCTTATCTCTCAATGTCCGATACAGGAAAGGAATGTCACTGCAAGAGCAATGCTTACACATTGCACATTGGATACCCCGAGGGGTAGACATGTTTTGCAAACTTACTGATGTCTTTTGGGTCGCACCTCTTGTCGAGCAGCGAGAAGCAGCTGAAAAAGCGGACCATATCGAGGACGAACAAGTTAAGAGTGACCGTGAAGCAATATTGAAGAACATGTAAGTACAGCTCATGATCACATTTCATTTTCGCTGATAACACTACTCTAGCTCCAAGGATGAAGAGGCACGAATGATGCGAACCTACAAGAAGATAACCACGGCTGCCCCATACCTACTAACGCTGGTCAATGGTAACAAGAAGAAGCGGCGAGAACTTGAGGGACTTCTCACTGAGGTAAGGCATGCATATATGCACTGGTTTGCGCGCTAATGCCACTTACAGATGCAAATGATTATCGGACAAGTTCGTTCGGAGGATGCTAGCCATCTGAAACCTGTCATTGGACAGTATGCAGCATATGACCCTGACGACAAAGATCTGGATCCTCCCATTCGTGCTAATAATCAACGGTCACACGCAAAGATGGGTATTAATCACCCGCAGCTCGCCAGGATGCTCTGCCCTGTGAAGCACTTGGGTGAATATTTGAAAGATCCTATAGCGTAAGTACTCTCCACCATTGGTTGAAGCTACTGATGGTTGTGATCAGAACACGCCAAAAGTTGGAAAATGGAGATATCAAGATGCGCGCATTGGTCTGGCCGGCCATGGTATACTCTGGTAAGATCGCTGGGGAACATTTCAACCCTCAGCTGGTGCAGAACGGGCTATTTGAAGGATACCTTCTCGAGCAAGTGAGTGATTTTTTATTAGACCAATTGATCTTTGAGTATTCATCAAACCTGTCTCTCTCAGGTGATGAGGCATCTCTTCACAGGACCGTCCTCCGCTCTTTGCACAGACAGTGAATCTGTTGGGACGCGTCCATGTAATGCACGTCTCCATAATATGATGGAGGTAGAAGCAGAGAATATTGCATATGGTGTGATTCAGGTACGTCTTTCAATATGCTTACTTTTTACATTTTAACTACTACTCAATGTCCTTATACAGAGCCGTTTCACCATCGGTTCACGCGACAAGTGGAAGGAAGAAGACGGCACTTACAATTACCGAGATGCATACTATCGGATCATTTCGACAATCCGTGACGCCCCAGACCCTAGTTGGGCAAAGGCACTGCACGAACATTGGAACCTGTATGTATTAACTTCTGTTATGAGCAGTATCTAACCTTGAGCTTCGTAGCAAATTGTTCAAAAACAAACTTGGGCTTCGCGCCTCATCTTCCACGAACACCACCGATGACGATGACGATGACGACTTCGCTCTAATGCGAAAGCAGTATGAGCAGAGGCTTGCAGACGAAGCCACTGCGCAGATGGTTTCTTCAGATTCTGGTCCCGGTGGAGAGGAGCTGCCTACTCCACCAAAGAGTCCATCTGTTCCTGTCACTGCATCTGACGGCGCTAAATCTAGCACGAGTCTGCCACCCGAGATTCCACCTCCCAGCCCAGATCCAAAGCCTCAGGAATCTGCAACATCCGAAAAGCCCGAGGAGCAGGTAGTATCTGCTAAGGAACCAGCCGTTAATGATTTCAGTGATCTTAGTGAGCCTGACAAACTCGACAAAGAACCCCAGCCACCAAAGTCCAAAGCCAAGAGGGGCCGTATTTGTAAGGCTGTTGTACAGTCACCGTTACCAGCACCAAAGAAGGCCAGGACGAGCTGCAAGAAGAAATGAACGGTCACGATCGCTTACTTTTGTAGGTCACCGCATGCTTTGCTTACCATCGTTGTGCTGACTAGCATGATATTCATATTTCAGGCCCGCACACCATTCCATCTCGTTGTATCATGTCTCTTCACATCAAGGTCTTCACAGTGCTGTCCATCTCTTTGTTGTTTTCGCTGTGTCTTCGCATCGACACTTTCGCACTGACTTCCGTCTGTTTCATCATTTGTTGTACTACTACCAGGATCCGGGTTTCTGACTGCAACTTCCCTCTGTTGTAACTCACCACGCACTTTACAGTACAATCAGGACCTTACTCATAGCTAATGCCATGTAATATGATAGCAAATTAATATCTGTCTAGCATGACATATCAGTGTGATAACCGGATAGAACAATGAAAATGGCTTCGCAGGGCATATCAGCATGATACATGGCTAGCAACTGAGGAATGATCAGCAGTTGAGCAGCACATTAGCGAAAAAAACGAACCTAGGTATGACCAGATAAGCGGACCCTGTGACCTGATACACCTGCCGGCACTTAGAGGCCTTCTAAGGGCTGATGCGACCTTAGCATGCCATCGCTGGAATGGGAAATTTTGGTGATGGTAGATGCAGCGTCATGTGCCACATGTCATGGAAATCCACAACAGGCAGTCAAGTTCATGGAACAGGGCAGTGGTCCCTAGCCTCTCGGCTCAAGACTCTAGTCGAAGACTTCGAGTCGGCCAATCCAAAGCTGGCGGACAATTATTTGGGTGTGTCTAATGCTGCCTAGAGTTCTACAACCGTCACCGACAGAGCTGCTGCTGATCGGGCAGCAGCAGAGTACAGCGTATAGGAGACTTACAAGGCAATGTTCGTACAAACATGCGCACCCGTCGAAGTTGGTTGCTTCGTCCATCCTGGATGGACGCTTTGACTTGTAGTCCATCCGTGCATCCCCGCGAGAAAGTCGCAAAAGAAAGATACATATTCACAGCTACGCTGAAGAAATCCAATGACATCAACGAAACCGCATCCGTCACTAAAGCGTAAGGCTATAGTCATATTCAGTCTGCGCACTCTGCGCAATCCAAAGCACAACCGCCGACAGCATCAACGCCACGTTCTGCGACACGTTCGCATAGCCGTAGTAAGTATACTGCTCGGGGTAGTCCATCATGATGTATTTCAGCACGAGAAGAGACTACAACGGACATTAAACATCGGGTAGCGTCAAAAAAAAAGACATCGATGCTTACCACGCTCCCCGCCAGTCCACCAGCCATGAATGCAAATCCGATGAAAAGGAAAAGGCGGGCCCTCCACACAGCATTAGAATCTCCATAATCGTCACCTCTAATCCTATCCTTGTCGATCATGTTGATGATGAGCATGCCAAGGAGCGAGCAGATACCCGGCACCCAATCAACGAACATCACATGAACGGGAGGCGGGATTTGGGGATCATCATAAGGCGGGTGAGCATGCGCAGACAAGATGGCAGCATCGAGGAAAGTCCAGTTTGCAAGTGCGAACTACGGAAAGGACGTGCGGTTAGCGTCAGCAAGGGAGGTAGAAGAAGCGCACGGACCAAAGCGCCCGCGAGGTAAATGCCAATAGTCCGGCGATGCTTTCCCAAGTTCAAGTTGAGGTCTGGAAATGGGTTTAAACACACCCTGCGGGGGTCATAGTCTGAGCGAGGGAGCGACATGGGCATTGGGGACAAGCTTGCTGTTGCACTGCTCTTTTGCTGTGCTGGTCACAGGCGGTCACCGGAAGCGTGGGAAGTCACTTGTAGGAAACAAATATTCGATCAGTATTGGAACAGCGCATCATATATTCGATTCTCATTCAGATCTTTTTACTATGGCATAGTAGCGCCATATCGACGCTCCTCAACCAAGTGGACAGTGAACAGTGAATGGGGCCTGCCATGTAGATTTGAACGTTTGGTATTTACCAATCCTTTGTATATTTTAGGGTTAGGGTCAGAACGTTTCTGAGGAAACCGTCTCCGTGGACACCTCATGTATACACCATGCACTGCCTTGACCTCTCCGCAAAAGCTCCAGAGTGAAACGTTCATCAGACTCACTCGTCTAATCTTTCTTCCTACCACAGTAACGACATCGCATTCAAAAACCTTGCGTTCACCACACGTCAACGGTACTGGTCTCCAAAGACTGCATGAAATCTGCTGCGCAACTCGGTAGGTACAACCGTAATAATCTTCAAGTTACAACAACGGGGTATCTTCGTGAAGTGCGAGGCAGTGTGAATGGGGGGTGGGGCGTACGTAAATCGTCAAAAGTGGGGCATACTGAGTGAGGGGGATGTGGTAGCGCACGAAGGGTATTGTGCGTGGAACGATGTGAGTATGCACATAAAACCTATGTATAATTACAGCTAATTCAACAACATAGTATCCACAAAAACCAAGATCTATCACGGAGGAAAAGGTGAGCGCGTGGACGTTGATGTGGATGTGATGAAGGGTGATTTTACAGGTGTCCTATGAAAATAAAGTCCAAGACCGACGATGCCCGCATACATCGGTTGAGAGATCAGAATCCGGCAGGTGCCACAAGCATGTTTTCAAAATTGAACAACTGCTCAAACGTATCGTGCCCCTGCGCCTCGAGTGGATATTGGTGCACCTCCATCGTCGATGCGTCAAAGGAACCAGGCGCAAAGTCAATGTTGAATGCCGACGGGTGCTGGCTCATGGACGCCAACTCTCCTCCGCATCCTGGCATACCGAGCTGAATTGGAGGAATAGCACTCAAGTCAAACTCGTCTCCAGCAAGAAGGTCGCTGTGACTTTCCCATGCGCCCTGTCCTTCCCAAGAATACTCGGGGTACCCGAAGTGCACGTTATCCAGAGGGGATCCAGACATGGGCGAGTCTAGTTCTCCATCATTCATGCAGGACGCTAGATCCCCATGGTACGAGAATGCGGAAGGCATGCAGTTTATGGGCGTATATGGGCCGGTATGCGGGCCGGATGAAGCGGACGCTATTGACGATACTGGAGAAACCATTTGTTGACTGGCTTGCAGCATGGACATGTCGGTGGAAATCGACAGAGGATGAGGCGCAGAGGGGTTCTCGAACATCCCATGGTAGAATCCATTGGCCTTGAGAGCGCTTGTCAGCCTGACGTCAAACTCGGACATTAATCGGGTACTCACATCAACGCCTGACACATAGGCGTTAGGGTGCGAAAACTGCTGTTGGGGCAAGAAATCAAACTGCGACGCTGATGAATTCATTCCATGGTCTGGATGCGACGCGCGGCGGCTGATCATTGGTAACAGTGACGGCGATGTCGGACACGAAGGCATGTAAACCGTCGGGACTTGGATTGTCTGCCGAGCAGGTGGGGGAGTAGGAGCGGACGCAGAACGGCCATGCTTCATCGCTGTCGGGGGTGACAATGGAAGCACAAACGAGATGCTGCTCTCACAATCCGTCTCGTGTTCAAACTCGCCTCGCTTGCTCTTCTTCCCCTTCTTGTCCTTTGACCGCTGGGGGCGATATACGTAATTCGGGTACATCTGCTCGTGCTCCTTCTTCTTTTCCTTTGCCTGCTCTTCCCAGTAGAGACGCTCCTCTGCAGAAAGCGCTTTCCACTGCTGGCTGATTGTTTTTGACAGATCTGCTTGTCGCTGCTTCTTTGTTGGGGCATCAGCGTACGCTGCCGATACTGCCTCTTCTTGAGCTTGTTGTCGCTCCTCACAGCACTTCCTGCGGAAGAGGATGAAAGCATTTTCAGGGCGCTTGATGTAGTCCTCGTCACCCTTTCTTGGTCTACGCTCGATGTCGCTGCATATCGACGACTTGCGGCGTTTGTGCGATGATGGGGATCCAGGGCCAGAAGATAAGGTGAATGATGATGTGGAGGAGAAGACCGAAGTCGATCCTTGTGAAGTGGACGATGAAGGGGAAAGAGGAGAAAGAGTGCGAACGAGCGTGGGGTGTGAAGGGGTGAGCGTGAGCTTCCGGAGATCTGGCTCAAATGGAGAATTAGCAGGGGACGAGTAAGGACAGGTTTCGCTTTTATCAACAGGGAAAGTGAAGGCGCGCGGCGTCGGAGAAATAATAGCCAGGGTAGGCGGTTGAATGGCGTCTGTAATCACCTCAAGTGCTGATAGAGGTGAGTGGTTAGGATTGAAATGTTGGATAGAAGGGCTTACATTGAGAAGGGGTATCGTGTGTGCGGAATGCAGGCATGATTGTTCTGTGTCGAACAATGGCTGCCACGGTGAGTGAATGGGGGGAAATAATGGGAAGGAAGAAGGAGGATGGGTGATTGATGCTTGAATAATAGGTTTCGCTAAGGCGGGGCACGCGGCTACTGAACTGTTTTCTTTGTCACACAGCGCGCTATCGAGCAAACAATTGGGCGAGTGGGGCACACAAAGCGAATACAATACGGACCGCCCGTTATATACTATGATCAAATCGTCCATCGAAAAGTTCCGTATGAACTTAAATCGTACGTCCGTTTGAAGGAGGACGCTTTGACTGAATTGGGATACTTTCATTTCGCGGTACTCCGAATTTGGGGGAAACAATGAGAGGGAAGCATCTCTCCGCTTATGCAATCGACCCTCAGGCTGAGACAGAATCACATCCATTTCATAGCCAAACACCGCATAAACAGATTTCTTATTGTCTTTTCGCCGAATTTGCTGGCTTCCTCGGCCGGCGATATCCCCCACAGACTATCTAATCACAGATTATTGACCCCGTTTTTTTTCCCTCGTACTGACTCGGTCGTATACCCACGAAGAATTCCTTCCAATCACCTCACCCTCCGCCGACGGTTCCGTTCCATTGGATCTCGTCTCACTATGCACAGACCATTCAAAGGTGTTCTGAGGCGTAGTACGTCTGACTGATCGCGAGTATGACCCTTGTCATTTTCACATGTTCAAGAGCTATTCTCGGACCGTCGTCTTCCTCGACGTTAAAGATTCCATTTTAAGTATATGTGACCCGTGCCATTCTCGATTGGGCAAGTTATGAAGATTGACTCGACTTCATATTTCGAGGGAAAGGAAGGTGAAGGAGACCGGCGTGGTGGCTATACATTCGTCACATCTCGCTTTGGCGTAGGAGCGAACATTAGATCCTATTCGTTATACCGCACCACGTCCTCCCGCTCACCTGAGTTTACACAGCAAGGGCTTTAACCTCCAACTTGTTCACCGCCGAACAGTAAGGATCTTGTCATTTACCCCATGTTGATGTACGTTACGGTATCCCAGTACTACTCGCTTTAGAGCCCCGCCCGGTCGTACAACTTATGACGGCCTTCAGAAAGGGAATACATGCACCCTCCCGTAACACGTGTAGTCCGCTTCGCCAATGACTCGGTTACAATGTATCGAATATTCTGGGAATATGTAGCTCGCTCGGTGGATGTGCGAGGGAACCCCTCCCGCCCAACGCAGCCCAATTCCGCTTTTGGCCCCTTAAGACCGACCACGTGTATACAACCAATGCTTCTTCGTGCACTCTTCACCGCGGATATAATCACACATATTGTCAACGAGTCAGTACTCGGCGGGACATGGTGAAAACGTGTTATTCTACCAAGTTGCGTGTTTGTTGGACCCTGCACCGCGCACCAGGCAGGAGATCCCAGTTTCCCCGCAATCTCAAGTGCGTCATATTACTCGATCAGTTTAGAATGCCGTACGTACTTGTTCCTAGGGTTACACCGCCCGCTGCAGGCACTTGCTGTGCTTGGAGTCCGAGACTTGTATCACGGATCACAACTTGGAAATGTACAGTTGACGTACTCTCTTCGGAGCATATCCACCCTCCAAATCCTTGTTAACCATCCTCGGACTTGGAGGGTCGCTGAACCATCGTCGGCAAAAGTGCGGCTCATCCCATTACCGGTTATGCCAGTCCTTCGGGATATCGGTTAGGGCGGTCTGAGAACATACATATATCATATCAGAAAACCCTCCCGCTTCAATTCAGTGTCGGGACGAAACCCGGAGAAAATACAAATGTTGGCACTGACGTGACCATCGCGGAATCAAATGTCTTGCGCAGCGGAGTCAAGTCTAAATTACTCTTCGTATAAACAATGAACGAAGCATGTGCCGCCGTGAGGCTGAAGGGGATGAACTTTCACGCCTTTTTCGATAAGGAATGATTATCTAGACTTTTCATCCAATACGCCAAGATGGGATTTATTATTCATTCGGGGATGGGACGACGACAAAGCGGTCATATCAAGCAATCTAAATCACGGTCAAGGACAAGGCGAAGAGATGACCCGCGGGCGACGAAAAGGTATGAGGCCCTAGCCCGATATCGACAGCATTCAGACTGCAAAAAGTTTGTGGCGTATCTGATTACATACTAATCCTCGACGTAGCAGCGAAGGCCCATCCGCACTACGCTTGTAGCCGACGTAGATATCAACACGAGGCAGCCATGAGGCAAAGTCTGATCAGAAGATACCAATAGCGTGTGCATCCAGCATCCATTTCATGTTCTTCAGTCGAGCCCCCTCTCATTGCCAGCTCTCTTTGCAGGCCAAAAAAAGGGGACAATGGCAAAGACGCACGCAATCGATTGATCTGACGACTGGTGCCAACGAAGCAAGCTAATCACGGGCGTAGATCATGCATGTATGCGGATATAAAAGGGACAGTGCGTGCCTTCGCCCGCCTCGTGCCCGGTGACGGGCATACCGGGGAAATATTGGTACGTGCAATGGAATTCTGCCCGGCTGATCGTGGTAACCCCTGGAGGTACCTGAGAAGGCCAGGACAAATGTTTGTGCACTCGAGGACGTCGAGTCAAAGCGCAGACACCGTGTGAATAATTAGCGTATGACCGTGAACAATACCTGAGTCAATGAGCCATTTCAACATTTGATCATGATCACGCCACAGCACTCCACAACCTAATTCTGCTACAAATGTCCTCAATTAATTCTGATTTGTTATCTTTACCAAGATAACCACAAGACTCACGAGTCATATCCAGCGAACAATGGCACATTGTCTGTTTCTGAGCAAAGTGAGAGAGAAGCGCAGGACAATGAGCGATTCAATGCTGGAAGTTGGAAATACGTGCATCCGGGTCTTAGAAGGGCCATGAGTCGGCGATAGCTAGGACAGATGGCGGTGGCTGATGATGGCAACATCGAATTTTGACTCTGAGGAGTGAGATGATATTAATGAGGATTAACTCCTTCTCTTTCGGGGGCGCGTGTTGTGACTCGATATCAAAGAGGGGTCTTCCTTTGTTCCCGTTTCGCTATTCCACGGAAACTGGGTAGATTATTGCCGGGGCGAGCATACTCCCTCTTTGGATATGACAATGGAGTTCGTATCCAGAGAGGGGCGCAATAGGAAGCTAGTCCGAGTCATCTATTATGACATCAGAAAGTGGTCAGTCTAGGGGCATAAACTCCTCAATCATTCATGCCGCCGGTAAAGAATGAGGATTAATCACCGAATCGCGGACATACGTGGGCAACCATCACCGAGTATTGGTGTGTGACAGAGCAGGCGGTGTCGCACTCGAGGCAGATATGCCAATTGCAGTGAATAATGTCAGATCTTTCAAAGATCGATTGGGTGCAACATGATACGACGTGTCAGTGTTTCAATTGAAGATACAACTCAGAGTGATATGGCACAACGTACCGCGTCCACAGGGATCAAAGGCGGTCAAATTTAGACAAGCTAGAAGGAGGCTTGTCTGACAGAGGACAATGAATATGAAAGTGGTATGAGTCAGAAGACCTACGTTGTGACCGGCTGGAACATGCTCGCTAGTGCTACGCATTTTGAAAATTCAAAGGGGGACAGAACGTTAACAGATCATGACGCCACATCCTAGGTAACAAGGCGGCCAGGTGGACTCGGCTCGGAATCATCACAAGGTCATGTAAGGCCGACGTGATCCGATCCGTGACTCCGTAAAGTTGCACCCAATACATTGCCGACCAATGGAAGATGTCAAGGAGGTGTAATACTCGCAAAAGCGGCTGCTTCAAAGGCTCATCAGTGCCCGATCTGTTCCAATCAGCGCTGTGAATGAGAATGATGGCATTCTGAGGGTTATTAGCTTGGGATTACGAGCTGAACGGAACTCCATTAGATGACTAAGCCGACTGGCACACGTATGCTGAGATTAAATATTTGCTGTTTGTCTGCTAGCCTAACCATTCATGAACCTATTTACTTGCATTCTCGCCACTAGACCTGTGAAATGTTCCAAGACAGGGCTGATTACTACGATCATGCGTCCAGACTCCAGGCTGCCCAATGATTACGGTGTCCACGGAAGCTTCTTCAGACCAGAACTTGTTCTGAAATCAATCACTGCATTTTCTATTGGCCGAACAATTCCAGCGATCTCTCATTGGTCGAGAAAACACTATGGACGCTTTGGACTGGCCGACCACTTCTCGAAGCATAACGTAACTCGCCGGCCATAGGATGCGAACAGTTCTATGTATAGCCGTACGACTCACCCTCTTACGCGTCTCGATATTCTGTACTTGATTCAATCGGCATCGGCAGTGCATATATACGAGATTGACAACCGTGGTGGGTTACGCGTGTTTTTCCACGACGAACACCTCATCAGAACATCAAAACACGACATCGGTCAACTTTACTGCTGTCCGATCCACGTATTCCCAACGCAACCTGCGATGCGTCTGGCTTTCACCGGTCCTGAAGCAAATGATAACTGTTATCACCAAGAGCGACCATCTCGAAACCAGACAGAGCCCAGCAAGTTGGTTGATGGAGCAGCCGAGGCCTATTGCTTTTTCATAAACGTCCATTAATGGACATTCAAAGGGAGCCCCATAACGAGTTAGCGCGGCGAAGTTCTAGCCGGTCACGAAAACACGTGTAACATCGCCGCCTTCTTTACGTTGTGAGGATGGCGGGCCGCGGCCTCTTCTCACTATCCCTCACCGAGGATCGCGGTGACTAGGTATTTCCCGGCTGTCGTTTACGGTTCCGAATGGCCTTGTAGGTGTCCTATAGGTCGAATATGACACATGCAGTGGCATGCGCGCTATCTTTCTGACGCGATTCAGGGGAATTCGGAGAGTTCACAGGCTTGCTCGCATCGAATTCTTACTGATGATAGTTGCTTTCACCAGGCGAAATGTGATCACCCGCAAGCTCGACTACTATTGGCCGCGACAGTCCACGACTCTCATATGGTGTCATAAATATTAAAATAGACAAACGATGGTTGCCGCGGATTGTCTGTTTTAATTGTTCAGGTGGCTGACAATGTTCCAAGAATCGGTCTGATAGTGGTTGCTGCCCGCCATGTTTTGCAAACGAGATATTTGACCAACCTAAATTTCCGTCTGCTATTTGGATTTTTACCTGAATCACAAGGCAGATATCG